GGAGAGCTTCTGGTGTCTGTGTTTGTGTGGGGAGCGGTGGCGCTCCGGTTAGGCGGCCGGGCGTGGTGCTAAACCACCCATCCCCTCGTGTTCCGCAGTGCACATTCATAGGTGCTGCGACTCGCTAACAGCACTTGCCCCTACAGCCTGCTACAGGCTACACGGGGGAACTTTGTCTGTGTGTTAGGTGCTGCTCGCTAACAGCCTTTGCCCCAACAGCATGTTATAGGCTACACGGGGGATCTTTGTCTGTGTGTCTGTGTGTTAGGTGCTGCTCGCTAACAGCACTTGTCTCAACAGCCTGCTACAGGCTACACGGGGGATCTTTGTCTGTGTGTCTGTGTGTTAGGTGCTGCTCGCTAACAGCACTTGCCCCAACACTTTGCTACAGGCTACACGGGGGAACTTTGTCTGTGTGTCTGTGTGTTAGGTGCTGCTCGCTAACAACACTTGCCCCTACAGCCTGCTACAGGCTACACGGGGGAACTTTGTCTGTGTGCCTGTGTGTTAGGTGTTGCTCGCTAATAGAACTTGCCCCTACAGCCTGCTACAGGCTACACGGGGGAACTTTGTCTGTGTGTTAGGTGCTGCGAATCGCTAACAGCACTTGCCCCAACAGCCTGCTACAGGCTACACGGGGGATCTTTGTCTGTGTGTCTGTGTTAGGTGCTGCGACTCGCTAACAGCACTTTCCCCAACATCCTGTTACAGGCTACACGGGGGAACTTTGTCTGTGTGTCTGTGTGTTAGGTGCTGCTCGCTAACAGCACTTGCCCCAACAGCCTGCTACAGGCTACACGGGGGATCTTTGTCTGTGTGTCTGTGTGTTAGGTACTGCTCGCTAACAGCCCTTGCCCCAACAGCCTGCTACAGGCTATACGGGGGATCTTTGTCTGTGTGTCTGTGTGTTAGGTGTTATTCGCTAACAACACTTGCCCCAACAGCCTGCTACAGGCTACACGGGGGATCTTTGTCTGTGTGTCTGTGTGTTAAGTGCTGCTCGCTAACAGCACTTGCCCGAACATCCTGCTACAGGCTACACGGGGGATCTTTGTCTGTGTGTCTGTGTGTTAGGTGTTTCTCGCTAACAGCACTTGCCCCAACAGCCTGCTAAAAGCTACACGGGGGAACTTTGTCTGTGTGTCTGTGTGTTAGGTGCTGCTCGCTAACAGCACTTGCCCCGACAGCCTGCTGAAGGATATACGGGGGATCTTTGTCTGGTTTGTAAGGGTGCCCTGGTGATCCCCATCTTTATTTTTTCAGAAAGGGGACCGCTCTCATTTCGTTGGCAGGGTTCGTGCTGATGAGAAGCTTGCGGAGCCCCCAAAGTCGTTTCAGGAGATGTTGACTACCTCGCCTGGTACACAGGAGGTCGTGGGTTCGATCCTGGCCCTGTCGCCTGCTGTATATTTGTGATGAGATGTTGACTACCTCGCCTGGTACACAGGAGGTCGTGGGTTTGATCCCTACCCTGACGCCTGCTGTATATTTGTGATGAGATGTTGACTACCTCGCCTGGTACACAGGAGGTCGTGGGTTCGATCCCTACCCTGACGCCTGCTGTATATTTGTGATGAGATGTTGACTACCTCGCATGGTACACAGGAAGTCGTGGGTTCGATCCCTACCCTGACGCCTGCTGTGTATTTGTGATGAGATGTTGACTACCTCGCCTGGTACACAGGAGGTCGTGGGTTCGATCCCTACCCTGACGCCTGCTGTATATTTGTGATGAGATGTTGACTACCTCGCCTGGTACACAGGAGGTCGTGGGTTCGATCCTGGCCCTGACGCTTGCTGTGTTTGGAGTTTGCGTGTCTCTCTCTCTCTCTTTCCCTGCGATGAGATGTTGACCTCCTCGCCTGGTACACAGGAGGTCGTGGGTTCGATCCTGGCCCTAACGCTTGCTGTGTTTGGAGTTTGCGTGTCTCTCTCTCTCTTACCCTGCTTGAGATGTTGACCACCTCGCCTGGTTTACAATTGGATCGGTCACTTTGATCCCGACCCCACCACATTTAGAGTACTATACATTGCCACACGATGATGATGAATGATGATGAATGATGATGAAAAGCCACCTCGATGAGCCGCTAACATTTGTGGTGGGCAGGTGGCTCCTGACAAAGAGCTACGGGCAGGTCGACGAAACCTAAATCGTTTCTAGAGTTGAAGCTTTCGTGACTGCAGAAATCGCCATACCCATTGGTTCTCTCGGGTGAAGACACTTGTGCAGGAATTAAAAAAAATAACATTCAAATGAAATCGCAGGCAAAATTAAAGTGAATCACACGACGTCTCGCGATTTATGAACGTTTTATTTTATGTCTACATCCGTGCCTTTACACTTCAGCTGCCTTAGGGTTTTACATTCACGTCCTCCGTATCTCCGGTCTAATACTCCCACCCTTACACACCACCACCACCATCACTAGGGTGTTTCAGTCGTGAAAAGTTGTCTACCATACAACTCTCACCCGACACTACCCCCCACCCTTCCCCCATCCGTGGTACTTGAGTAGCTTGCCCAGGAGTTCCACTAATCCCCGTCACTTAACACTACCCCTCCCACCATACGTGGTACTTGAGTAGGGGGGGTGTGAGTGGTGAGTGTGAGTGGTGAGTATGGGTGGTGAGTGGTGAGTGTGAGTGGTGAGTGTGAGTGGTGAGTGTGAGTGGTGAGTGTGCGTGGTGAGTGTGGTGTGAGTGTGAGTGGTGAGTGTGAGTGGTGAGTATGGGTGGTGAGTGTGAGTGGTGGGTATGCGTGGTGAGTGTGGTGTGTGAGTGGTGAGTATGCGTGGTGAGTGTGAGTGGTGAGTGTGAATAGTGAGTGTGAGTGGTGAGTGTGAGTGGTGAGTTTGCGTGGTGAGTATGAGTGGTGAGTGTGAGTAGTGAGTATGGGTGGTGAGTGTGAGTGGTGAGTGTGAGTGGTGAGTGTGGGTGGTGAGTATGCGTGGTGAGTGTGGTGTGAGTGTGAGTGGTAAGTATGCGTGGTGAGTGTGAGTGGTGAGTGTGAGTGGTGAGTGTGAGTGGTGAGTATGCGTGGTGAGTGTGAGTGGTGAGTGTGGGTGGTGAGTGTGAGTGGTGAGTGTGAATAGCGAGTGTGAGTGGTGAGTATGCGTGGTGAGTATGAGTGGTGAGTGTGGGTGGTGAGTGTGAGTGGTGCGTGTGAGTGGTGAGTATGGGTGGTGAGTGGTGAGTCTGAGTGGTGAGTGTGAGTGGTGAGTGTGGGTGGTGAGTGTGCGTGGTGAGTGTGGTGTGAGTGTGAGTGGTGAGTGTGAGTGGTGAGTATGGGTGGTGAGTGTGAGTGGTGAGTGTGAGTGGTGAGTGTGATTGGTGAGTGGTGAGTGGTGAGTGTGAGTGGTGAGTATGGGTGGTGAGTGTGAGTGGTGAGTGTGAGTGGTGAGTGTGAGTGGTGAGTATGGGTGGTGAGTGTGAGTGGTGAGTATGGGTGGTGAGTGTGAGTGGTGAGTGTGAGTGGTGAGTGTGAGTGGTGAGTATGGGTGGTGAGTGTGAGTGGTGAGTGTGAGTGGTGAGTGTGAGTGGTGAGTATGCGTGGTGAGTATGGGTGGTGAGTTTGAGTGGTGAGTGTGATTGGTGAGTGGTTAGTGGTGAGTGTGAGTGGTGAGTATGGGTGGTGAGTGTGAGTGGTGAGTGTGAGTGGTGAGTGTGAGTGGTGAGTATGGGTGGTGAGTGTGAGTGGTGAGTGTGAGTGGTGAGTGTGAGTGGTGAGTGTGAGTGGTGAGTGTGAGTTTATGAATACTCCCAGGGGGCTGCTCACAGGAAGTGGCCTGGATGACCCTCAGGATGTATCCCAGCCATAGGAATGTGGAATTTCCACTAATGGCTTTTGAGACTACCCCCTACCACAACCCCTACCACATCACTACCTTTACCCCTATCACAACCCTTACTCTATCACTACCCTTACCCCTACCACAACCCCTACCACATCACTACCCTTACCCCTACCCCTATCACAACCCCTACCACATCACTACCCTTACCCCTATCACTACCCTTACCCCATCACTACCTTTACCCCTACCCCCTACCACAACCCCTACCCCTATCACAACCCCCATTCCATCACTATCCTTACTGTACCCCTACCACAACCCCTACCACATCACTACCCTTACCCCTATCACAACCCCTACCACATCACTACCCTTACTGTACCCCTATCACAACCCCTAGCACATCACTACCCTTACCCCTATCACAACCCCTACCACATCACTACCCTTACCCGTACTCCTATCACAACCCCTACCACATCACTACCCTTACTGTACCCCTATCACAACCCCTACCACATCACTATCCCTACCCCTACCACAACCCCTACCACATCACTACCCTTACCCCTATCACAACCCCTACCACATCACTACCCTTACCCCTACCACAACCCCTACCACATCACTACCCTCACCCCTATCACAACCCCTACCACATCACTACCCTTACCCGTACCCCTATCACGACCCCTACCACATCACTACCCTTACTGTACCCCTATCACAACCCCTACCACATCACTACCGTTACCCCTATCACGACCCCTACCACATCACTACCCTTACCCCTATCACAACCCCTACCACATCACTACCCTTACCCCTATCACAACCCCTACCACATTACTACCCTCACCCCTATCACAACCCCTACCACATCACTACCCTTACTGTACCCCTATCACAACCCCTACCACATCACTACCCTTACCCGTACCCCTATCACAACCCCTACCACATCACTACCCTCACCCCTATCACAACCCCTACCACATCACTAACTTCACCCCTATCACAACCCCTACCACATCACTACCCTTACTGTACCCCTATCGCAACCCCTACCACATCACTACCCTTACCCGTACCCCTATCACGACCCCTACCCCAATGAAACAATGGATCCCTATGATGACCCCTAACCTTTAGCAACTCCTGCTCGACTCCTGAACGCTAACCTCTCTCTTCTGCTCCCTGTAGGTGGCCCGCTTGGCCTGCGACGGAGTTCAACCTGACGAAATGCAGCGCCTCTGACTGCAACAGCCAATCACGCCCCGGAGTCGGGAAGTTCAAAAAACAAATGTCGAGCCATCGCTAGGCTCGTGAAACGAGGGCGTTTCATCTCACCTGAAACTTTTCTCAAACTAAATCCCTTATTCGACAAATTTTTTTTTTCATTCTAACCAATATCCGAAATGGCCATAACGCACCTCCTTCCCTGCTGCTTCCTATTGGCTGTTGAGCTGGCTGCGGGGACCCACGTGACCGCGGCCACCCAACCGGAGGGCGGCAAGAGGGCGGGACTTGTCGTGGAATGGGCGGAGCCTTCGCTCGATGGGGCGTGGCCTACCGGGAAGTGGGCGGGCCCCCAGGGCAAATGGGCAGGGTTTGCCTTTGACGGGGCGGGGCCTGTGCCGGAAGAAGGCGTTGGGCCTACCCACGATGGCGGACCCAGGAGGCGGATCCCGAGGAGCTGGGTGTGGAACCAATTCTTCGTGGTGGAGGAATACACGGGCACCGAGCCGATCAAAGTCGGACGGGTAAGTCGCGTGGTCCCTCCGCCAAGCAGTCTGTTGCTGCCTTCAGAGAGGGACTGTGGTGGTGGTCGTGGTGGTGGATCATCCGCGCTCCTACCCATATTGCCCGCACTCCACCACGGCCATATCTGGCGGCGGATCACTCCTTCATTCCACAACGCCCCCATCCCCCACACCACCCAAGCAAGCTCATCCCTCCGTAATGTCCATGATAGAGGTTTTTGGGGATTATATCGCGTGAATGTCAATGTGCCGTTAAACCCGCCACCACCCGACGCACAGCCAGTTAGTGAGGTTTGTCACGTGAACAAAACAAAGCATGCCGATTCGTCACTAGTGCAGCAACACCGGTGTGTTGGAGGGTACACCCACAACATTTACGATTCGAGGATGACGTTTTTGCCAGTAGTTACAGCAACCAACATCATCAGGCAACAGTCAAAGTTGTGGAGAAATCCTCCTCCTGTTTTGATCTTAAATAGAGGGATGAATGTGATGTCATCACTTGTGAGTCGATCAGGTAGGAAGGCCAGAGAGAGAGGAGGGGCCAATGTACGCGTATAAATTACAATGGATAGCCATTACTGTTTGGGTTAATCATAGGGTAATCAACATTCATTATCTCTTGATTTAAAGCTTTCGTGACTGCAGGGAAACAATAAAATAATAAAAATATAAAACAGTAAAATTCTCACGACGTTTCGACTGCAACACATGCAATCATCATCAGGTGATGATCATCATCAGGTTCCTTACGATGAAAAGGATGAAGCTGAAACGGGAATAGGCGGGGCTTAAACAGGAAAGGGCGGGGCCTAAACAGGAAAGGGCGGGGCCTAAACAGGAAGGGATGGGTTTTTTACTTCAAACTTTCGTGATTGCAGGAATTCAGATTCTATGGTTCTTTAGGTAAAGTCACCGAGATGGAAGAAAACAAATAATAACAATAAAATAATAAAATCTAAATGAGAATAAAGTCATCAGGAACGACCGCTTGTGTTGCGATCGAAACGTCATGACATTTATTATTATTCATTTTTCACTCACTTTTATTTACATTTGTATTACTTCATTGTTATTATGATTTTTTCTTCTTTGGTTCTTTCGGTAAAGTCACGTAGAATGAGAATAAAATAATGAATTAATAAAATAACACAATAAAATTCTCACGACGTTTTGGCCACAATACAAGCGGCCTTCATCAGGTGAAGGGACGAGACTATCTCGAGGACAGCGCTGGAGCGAACACAGCCAAGCTCACTCCAGCGCTGTCCTTGAGACAGTCTCGTCCCTTCACCTGATGAAGGCCACTTGTGTTGTGGCCGAAACGTCGTGAGAATTTTATTGTGTTATTTTATTAATTCATTACTTTATTCTCATTCTACGTGACTTTACCGAAAGAACCAAAGAAGATGAATCCTTGCAGTCACGAAAGCTTTAAATCGAAATAATTATTTTTTCTATCTGCGTGGCCATAGAATGCGAATAGAAAGGGATGTAGCCTAAGGAGCAAGGGGGGGCAGGGCCTTCTCTACCGCCGCTGGACGCCCATGAAACAGCGCGTTGTACCTTTCCCAGCTGCTATGATGACAGTGCAATAATCTACAACACAGCGAGGAAGGCCGCTATGGCGCTCAGAGGCGGGACTCTCCTCGCGTTCAGGAGCTGAATGCCGATGTCGAGGTCTCATCGGCACAATTGGAGGGCTTGAGCAGAGAGGTTGCACTGCGTTGCTACCCCCTCCTCCATTGAGGGAGCACAGCCTATTAGGGGCCGTCCGTAAATGACGTCACGCGATTTTTGACCCCCGACCCCCCCTTCGTCACACGGCGTCACAAAAAGTCAGACCGCCCCCCCCTCCCCCTTAAAATATGACGTCACTAAGCTCCTCCCCCCCCTAAGAAATAAAATAAAACACATGCTTCAAATTGCTTTAAACTATCGTCACTGTAGTTGCGTATGTAACGTGGCGCTGCACTCTGATGTTGTAGGAAGAACACATCGATTACAAAGTCTATTTAATTAAGTGGAACGTGTTGTGTCTGTGTTTATATTTAAAGTTGCGCAATTTTGACGTGACGTCACATTACTCAAACCCCCACCCCCCCCCCCCCCCACGTCACACATCTTCACAAATGTAAACGTGCTTCAAATCGCTTTAAACTATTGTCACTGTAGTTGCGTATTTAATGTGGCGCTGCACTCTGATGTTGTAGGAGTGTTGTTATAACAATTGGCGTTGTTATAACAATTCTATATTTAATTAAAATTGCGCATTTTGACGTGACGTCACATTTCTCAACCACTTCCCCCTCCTCCTCGTCACACATGGTCACAAATGTCTGACCCCCTCCCCCCCCTAGGAGCGTGACGTCATTTATGGACGGCCCCTTAACAGTGGGTTTTCTACGTGGTCCACAAATTGGGTTTGCGTGGACACAGTCGCACTTACAGTATGCCGTGTCTTTCATTGTCCATTTCTGAAAGAGGCAATTTTTCGCAGCATGCATCTCTAACGATCGCACCTGCGTTCGAATTCACGACTCTAGTTTTGCTTAAGGTGCCTTGAAAGCACAGAGCAGGTGGGCCACCGCTAGAGAGAGGTCGTCTCCCACCCACTCCCCTGGAGAATTGCACCCGATTGACCTGCAACATTTATGAAGGCTGCGATTAAAACACATTCTCCTGCGGAGGGAGCTGGTGGGAACGTTGGGTTGCTCGGTCAGTGGCCAGGGGTCAACAACAACGGCGGCACCACGTGGTGCATTCCGCACAATATGTCCGACTGTGAGGGCGGGCACAAGCCGGCGTGAGTAGGTTAAACGTTGAGTTTTATGAGGGCACCACGGGGTGACCAGCCCCTCCCCACCCAGCCCCACCCCTCCCACCCAGCCCCTCCCCACTCTCCCCTCCCTACCAGGCCCCTCCCTCCCCACCCAGCCCCTCCCCACCCTCCCCTCTCCACCCAGCCCCACCCCTCCCCACCCAGCCCCTCCCCACCCTCCCCTCCCTACCCAGCCCCTCCCTCCCCACCCAGCCCCTCCCCACCCTCCCCTCTCCACCCAGCCCCACCCCTCCCATTTTTGGATGCACGACAGACGGACGGACACAATAATCCCCTGTGGGCTGGTGGTGGTGTCACCAGGAGGTTCCTACACAGTACTATCATATCTGCCTGGACATCCGGACACATGAACGCCGACATCACACCGATGCACAGTGTCCACAACATGGGAGTTGTCATTGATCGTCAGGGCTGCAGAACCTCGACACTTCACTCCCCACATCCCTCCCCTCCCCGTTCACCACGACACTCACCTCCCTATATCTCCTAAGACCCACACACCTGTGCCGCATAATACACTCACCTGTGACCCATAATACACTCACCTGTGACCCCATAATACACTCACCTGTGACCCCATAATACACTCACCTGTGACCCATAATATACTCACCTGTGACCCATAATATACACACCTGTCCCCCATAATACACTCACCTGTGACCCATAATATATACACCTGTGACCCATAATACACTCGACTGTGCCGCATAATACACTCACCTGTGACCCATAATACACTCACCTGTGATCCCATAATACACACACCTGTACCCCATAATATACACACCTGTGACCCATAATATACACACCTGTGCCGCATAATACACTCACCTGTGACCCATAATATATACACCTGTGACCCATAATACACTCACCTGTGCCGCATAAGACACTCACCTGTGACCCATAATACACTCACCTGTGACCCATAATACACTCACCTGTGATTCCATAATACACACACCTGTGACCCATAATATACACACCTGTGCCGCATAATACACTCACCTGTGTCGCATAATACACTCACCTGTACCCCATAATACACTCACCTGTGACCCATAATACACTCACCTGTGACCCATAATACACTCACCTGTGACCCATAATACACTCACCTGTGACCCATAATACACTCACCTGTGACCCATAATACACACACCTGTGACCCATAATACACTCACTTGTGACCCATAATACACATACCTGTGACCCATAACACACTCACCTGTGACCCATAATACACTCACCTGTGACCCATAATACACTCACCTGTACCCCATAATACACACACCTGTACCTCCTAATATACACATACCTGTGACCCATAACACACTCACCTGTGACCCATAATACACTCACCTGTGACCCATAATACACTCACCTGTACCCCATAATATACTCACCTGTACCCCATAATACACACACCTGTACCTCCTAATATACACTCACCTGTTACCCATAATACACTCACCTGTGACCCATAATACACTCACTTGTGACCCATAATACACACACCTGTACCCCATAATACACTCACTTGTACCCCATAATACACACACCTGTGACCCATAATACACTCACCTGTACCTCCTAATATACACTCACCTGTGACCCATAATACACACACCTGTGACCCATAATATACTGATCTGTGACCCATAATACACACACCTGTACCCCATAATATACTCACCTGTACCCCATAATACACACACCTGTACCTCCTAATATACACTCACCTGTCACCCATAATACACACTCACCTGTACCTGTGCCCCCCTAGGTTCACCTGGAGGCTGACCAGGGTGATGGCTCCGTGCGCTATGAGCTGTGGGGGGAAGGAGCTGGGACCGAGTTCACAGTGGACACAAGCACGGGGGAGGTGAGGATGGGGAGATGGTCGCTCACCTGTACGCTCACCTGTGCACTCACCTGTGCACTCACCTGTCCACTCACCTGTACACTCACTTGTGCACTCACCTGTCCACTCACCTGTACACTCACCTGTACACTGACCTGTACACTCACATGTACACTCACCTGTACACTCACTTGTGCACTCACATGTACACTCACCTGTACGCTCACCTGTGCACTCACCTGTCCACTCACCTGTACACTCACTTGTGCACTCACCTGTCCACTCACCTGTACACTCACCTGTACACTCACCTGTCCACTCACCTGTACACTCACTTGTACACTCACTTGTACACTGACCTGTACACTGACCTGTACACTCAGCTGTACACTCACCTGTACACACACTTGTACACTCAGCTGTACACTCACCTGTGCACTCACCTGTCTACTCACATGTACACTCACCTGTACACTCAATTGTGCACTCACATGTACACTCACCTGTACAATCACTTGTACACTGACCTGTACAATCACCTGTAAACTCACTTGTACACTCACCTGTACACTAACATGTACACTCACCTGTACACTCACCTGTCCACTCACCTGTACACACACCTGTGCACTCACCTGTCCACTCACCTGTACACTCACCCGTGCACTCACCTGTACACTGACCTGTACATTCAGCTGTACACTCACCTGTAAACTTACCTGTACACACTTACTTTTACACTCACTTGTACACTGACCTGTACACTCACCTGTACACACACGTGTACACTCACCTGTACACACACCTGTACACTCACCTGTACACACAGCTGTACACACACCTGTACACGCACCTGTACACACACCTGTACACACACCTGTACACTCACTTGTACACTCAGCTGTACACACCCTTGTACACTGACCTGTACACTCACCTGTACACACACCTGTACACGCACCTGTACACACACCTGTACACACACATATGCTCACCTGAGCACTGACAGTGAGTGCTCTTGCAACACGGTAGACGCCTTTAGGACAGGCGCCACGCCAAACGGAAAACGTGTGAAGCCAAAATAATTCCCCGTGAAAAAAAAAGAAGACAATAATATTTGACGAGATAGACGATTTGCGCACTCGCGCGCACACACGGAGTAACATCGCGTCGCGCACTGTACCGCTGTGCCGCGCAGACTCAGGTAAAGCAGTTGTCCGTCGGCCGCCCAGAAACTGCATTAGAAAGGTCCTCGTTCTGCGCTATAACGGTGCACGTTACACGCTGTGACGGTGCACGTTACATGTTATGATGGTGCTCGTTACACGTCATAACGGTGCACGTTACACGTCATAACGGCGCACGTTACACGTCATAACGGTGCACGTTACACGTCATAACGGTGCACGTTACACGCTATAACGGTGCACGTTACACGTTATGACGGTGCTCGTTACACGCTATGACGGTGCACGTTACACGTTATGACGGTGCACGTTACACGTTATGATGGTGCACGTTACACGCTATAACGGTGCACGTTACACGCTATAACGGTGCACGTTACACGCTATAACGGTGCACGTTACACGCTATAACGGTGCACGTTACAGGTTATAACGGTGCACGTTACACGTTATAACGGCGCACGTTACACGCTATAACGGTGTACGTTATAACAGTGCACGTTACACGCTATAACGGTGCACGTTACACGTTATAACGGTGCACGTTACACGTTATAACGGCGCACGTTACACGTTATAACGGTGCACGTTACACGCTATAACGGTGCACGTTACACGTTATAACGGTGCACGTTACACGTCATAACGGTGCACGTTACACGCTGTGACGGTACTCGTTACACACTATAACGGTGCACGTTACACGTTATAAGGGTGCACGTTACACGCTATGCCGGTGCACGTTACACGCTATAACGGTGCACGTTACACGCTATGCCGGTGCACGTTACACGCTATGACGGTGCACGTTACACGCTATAACGGTGCACGTTACACACTATAACAGTGCACGTTACACGCTATAACGGTGCACGTTACACGTTATAACGGTGCACGTTACACGTCATAACGGTGCACGTTACACGTCATAACGGTGCACGTTACACGTCATAACGGTGCACGTTACACGCTATAACGGTGCACGTTACACGTCATAACGGTGCACGTTACACGTCATAACGGTGCACGTTACACGTCATAACGGTGCACGTTACACGCTATAACGGTGCACGTTACACGCTGTGACGGTACTCGTTCCGCGTTATAATGACGGTACGCCTTCCGCGTTCTGTGAGAAGTATTCCCGAATGGTAGAAGCATGCGTTAGGATTATTTGGCTCCTCTGAATCATTTCTATGCGAGAAACAATTTTGTTGAGCTGTTAACATTTGTGTTGCCCAGGTGGCTTCTGAAATAGGTGCTAAATAGCTCAGTGGGGTCTTACCCGGTAAAATAAAAAAGAGAAAAAGAATTGCCTTATTATTGTTTCTAGACTCTTAGCGTTGTGCCCTGCCCGCGCCTCGGTGCGACGAGAGGGCCCGCCAGGATCGCCGTTCGGTGGCACGCAGCGCCGCAAGCGCCTGCCGACGTCGTTATGGGCCCGGCCAATCGGCGCACAGCAGGAGCCAAACTCGCCTACTTGATGTCCCCGGTGGAAGAGAATGGAGGGGGCCTTGCTCCGATGGGGCATCCCCCGGGCCAATACGCACACACATGGACAGGATTCCCCCCACGTGTGACTGAGGTTCATTGACACTGCGGTTGCCTGGCCCGGAAAAATGGGCCCTAGGCTCATTTTTTGTTTTGTTTTGCCCAATCCCGACCGGCTGGCTTAAAGACGCGGCTCACGGAGAGGGAGCAGGCGGCTAAAGTTCCGCGCTGGCTGGCGGCCATGGCCCGTCAACGCCCACTGGGGATGCCCCCCCCCCCCCCCGCGAGCAAAAAGGGGTCCCCATGACAAGGGCGAAGGTCCCCCGGACTGTCGGGGGCAAGTGCCGCTAGCGAGCAGCAGCGCCTGTGAAGGCCGGCACTGTGTCACACGAAGGGTGGCCAGCCACCACGCGCGGGCCGACCTGGTCTCCGCCCGGCCCGCGATGTTTAGCGCACCACCGCAACCGGACACTCATTTGAGGCTGAGCCAACCCAGGGGAGGTCCAGGGCCGATTCGGTTAACGGAACTCGGGGGGGTTCGCGCCGGCTCGGAGCGCTAACCGCGGCACCACCGCTCCCCACAAGAGCTACGTCCAGAGTAGCACAAGGGGCTCCACTTGATGGCCGTCTCAAAATCGCGCTTAAATTTGACTTACTTTTGCAGCATCGTGGCTGTGAGTGCAAGCGAGTGAACCTGCATCAGAGGCGGACGGCGTCATTCCACTGAACGCATAGCAATTCAAATGAGACCGGCGCCCTCTGACGTCCGCATGTTGTAAGTGAACAACACGAAGACCACGGGTCAGGCGAGACGCGACGAAATATTGCAATGAATCGCGACCTGGTATTCGCAATAATAAGAAATAACACGGCAGTGGATTTATTGGATTTATCACGGCCGATGACGACGATTGTATATTCCTCGTTATAAAGAGAGGGGAGAAGAACACAATTACCGGACAATTCATTTTATCAAGATACACTGACTACTACCGGCCCCCACCACCAAGTTTTATACAATAATAATAACAACAACCACCACTTAGTGGCGGTCACACAGCGCCTGTTGGCAGGCCAGGTGCACGCCGAGGCCACGTGAAGTTTCGAAGGCACACACAAAGACAAAGATCCCCCATGTAGCCTGTAACAGACTGTAGGGGCAAGTGCTGTTAGCGAGCAGCACCTATGAAGGCCGGAACGGTACACGAGGGAGTGGGTGGCCAGCACCACGCCCGACCGCCTTTGTCTCCCCAGTGACGATGTTTACCACGTACCGCTCCAGGTACTCATTTAAGGCTGAGTCGACCTAGGGGAGGCCCAGGACCGGTTCAGATAATCGTCACTGGTGTTGGCCGTGAGCGGGAATCGAACCCGGGTCGCCAGGTTCATAGCGCAGCGCGCTAACCACTACACTACCGCTCCCCACACAGTCACATACACATACACACAATAACAACAACAACCGCCATTCGCCACTAAGTGATGTGACGTCACCAGGACGCTTGTGCCAGGCCACGTGCACTCCGAGGCCACGTGAAGTGTCGAACGCCCGCTGGCAGGATGGCCACGGGGCAGACCCAGCAGGTGCCACGGGTCGACTGACTGAGATGACTGGCCGATGCACCACCACCTGCGTCATCTGCTATTCCACTTGGTTGGGCTATCATTCGTCTGCCAGTTCGCTTTTGAAAAATAAGTTAATGCGTCAGTGGGCTTTGCCTCGGTGGATGGGGATGGTTTAGTTTTAATGTGTTTGTGTTTTGGGTGATTTAATCTCGATTTGAAGCTTTCGTGGCTGCAGGAATCCATACGTTCTGGTTCTTTGGGTAAAGTCACGTATATATATTTTGTTTTATGCCCACGTATAAAATAAGGTATATTTTGTTTTATACCTTACGCGACTTTACCGAAAGAACCAAAGAGTTTGGGTGATTTGTTTACCATTCTTGTACTTTGCACGACTATCGTGCTTGTTTTTGTAACGTTCTGACCCGGTGCCTCTACTGGACATCTGTGAAAAAGAGCTTCATAGCTCATCGGATTCCTCCAGCAGGATAAATCGATATTCTGATTCTGAAATTGCTGCATTTTAGCCTCCCGGCGGTGATACCAAGGTGATACACAGCCTCACACAGCTGCGGGGGCGGGTTTTTTTTTGGGGGGGGAGGGTGTCATGGTCACGTGGGCAGCGTTGAACTGCTGCTGCTGCTGTCACGTGGGTCAGGGCCAGGAGGACTGCTCTAGCCCAGAGGCTCGGGGCACGCGAGACTTCTCGCGAGTGTTACAGCTCCGTGAAGCGCTCTGAGACTGAGTGGGACTCAATGGGTGGATGTCCCAGCGGAGCTGAGAGGGCCCAAGCAGAGGAGGAGAAAGCCCAGGAGAGGTCCATCTCTCAGGAGTTGAGTGGCCTCACTCTCAATACTCTAGGGCAGAGGGGGGGGGGTCCCCGACCCAAGGGCCACGGGACCGGTACCGGTCCTGTGGCCCGTTAGGAACCGGGCCGCACAGCAGCACGTGGTGGGAGTGGTGAGTCAGCACGTGGCCCGTCCGCCATTTTTTTATCGTTTACCACTTCCGTCCGCGCCTCTTTCCCGCACTGCGCCACTCAGTCACAGCGTTGCTAAGCACCACGAGCTGCTAACCCCCCTGGTAGTAACCACAATGAGTCAAAAAAGCAAAACGCCGCTGGAGAGATTCTTTGAAAAGGCGGGGGGGGGGGGGGGAAAGACCCAAATGATGAACCACCACCCCCACCACCACCCCCGGTCCGTGCAAAAGAATTGTCTCCCACAAAACCGGTCCCTGGTGCCGTAAAGGTTTTGGGTATACCGCTGCTTGCTGCTGTAGCCCAGCAGGTGCTCGGCTCCTTCGCAGCCTTCGCCGAAGAGGAATCAACCCCACAGAGGAAGAGAGCCTCCCTCGGCCAAGGGAGCGACAGTCCCAGGCGGAAGGAGGAGTTGCCCCTGGGGACCAGCAGCTTGCTCGATCATCGGAACCTCTGGTTTAAAGCTTTCGTGACTGCAGGGATTCATGTTCTTGGTTCTTTCGGTAAAGTCACCACCACGTCCTGTAGAAAGGAAACAATAAAATATTGAAAATATAAAACAATACAATTCTCACGACGTTTCGACTGCAACGCAAGCAAGCAATCATCATCATCAAGGTTGTGAAAACCACAGCAAGGAAATTTTTCGTGAGAATTGTACTGTTTTATATTTTAAATTATTTTATTGTCTCCCTTCTACGTGACTTGACCGAAAGAACCAAGAATATCGGAAATTTCGCTCCAGCGCTGTCCCCCAGACAGTCTCGTCCCTTCACCTGATGAAGGCCGCTTGTGTTGTGGCCGAAACGTCGTGAGAATTTTATTGTGTTGTTTTATTTTATCAAGTTATTATTTTATTCTCATTCTACGTGGTGACTTTACCGAAAGAACCAAAGAAGATGAAATATCGGGAATCTCTATTTAGACTGGCGGAGGAACCCGATAAGCTACGAAGTCTCCCAGGTTCCTGACACACGTGCCGGACCATGCTCGATCCCCGTACGGGCACGGGGATCAGCATGGTCCGGCACGAGTGTCAGGAACCTGGGAGACTTTTTAAATATAAAAAATCTCCAGGGCGCCTGAACAGGGCCCACGTGGGCCGCTGCCACAACGGCCGGTCGCATGTTGCCGCCGGGGTTCCGAGTCACGTAAAACGACGGATCTTCGTCAAGCCCCGCTCCCCCCAGTTTCCACCTGAAATCGCATCTCTTCGCGCTTACCCGTCCCTACTGCTACTGCGACCGCCCACTCCCACCCACTTAGCCCCACCCCAAGCGCTCCCCCGACCGCTTACCACCATGACGACACGGCCGCCTTTCGATAACCCAGCCCGGTACGTCAACCACTGTCGTCTTAAGGCGCCATTTTGCGATGCATCTTCTTCGTGTTCTTTCGGTAAAGCCGCGTAGAATGAGAATGAAATAATGAATTAATAAAATAAAATAACGCAATAACATTTTGCGATTGTTGCGAAGCGCCTTGCATCGAGCCTCTACGACAATCTGCCACGAGATAAGACCCGGCCATTTTTTGCTCCCGGAAGCACAGGCCAAGGCAGCGGATGGATGAGGATGAGGAGGTGGAGGGAGGGAGGAGGAAGGAGGAGGGAGAAGGGAGGGACGAGCCAGACAATCTCTCAGGCCGTGGCAATGCCCTCGAAGGCAGGCACGTGCGTGGCCTGTTCCAGCGAGCTTACCCAGGAGGGCCTGGCCAAGTCGAATGTTAAAGGCCACCGCCAGGAAGGGCCCGAAAAAAACCTGCCCACGGGGACCTCGCGCCCGGTCCTCTCTTGCGCTGCAGACGCGGGCCTGGACGCCGTGAATCTCTCAATCATCTCTCAATCTCTCTATCTCAATCATCTCTCTCTATCTCTCAATCATCTCTCTATCTCAATCATCTCTCTATCTCTAAATCTCTCTATCTCTCTCTATCTCTCAATCTATCTCTCTATCTCTCTCTATCTCTCAATCATCTCTCTATCTCTCAATCTCTCCATCTCTCTATCTCTCAATCTCTCTCTCAATCATCTCTCAATGTCTCAATCTCTCTCTCTATCTCTCAATCTCTCTATCTATCTCTCTATCTCTCTCTATCTCTCAATCATCTCTCTCTCTATCTCTCAATCATCTCTCGATCTCTGAATCTCTCTCTCTATCTCTCTATCTTTATCTCTCTATCTCAATCATCTCTGTATCTCTCAATCATCTCTCTACCTCTCAATTTCTCAATCTCTCTCTATCTCAATCATCTCTCTATCTCTCTCGATCTCTCAATCTCTCTCTATCTTTCAATCATCTCTCGATCTCTCAATCTCTCTCTATCTCTCTATCCATCTCTCTCTATCTCTCAATCATCTTTCTATCTCTCAATCTCTCAATCTCTCTATCTCAATCATCTCTCAATCATCTCTCTATCTCTCTCTATCTCTCAATCAGCTCTCGATCTCTCTATCTCTCTCTATCTCTCAATCATCCCTCTGTCTCTCAATCTCTATCTCTCGATCTTTCTATCTATTTCTCTCCCAATCTCTCTCTATCTCTCTCTATCTCTCAATCATCTCTCAATCTCTCGATCTCTCTCTCTATCTCTCAATCATGTCTCAATCTCTCGATCTCTCAATCATCTTTCGATCTCTCTCTCTATCTTTCAATAATTTCTAAATCTCTCTATCTATCTCTCTCGATCTCTCTATCTCTCTCTCTCTCGATCTCTCAATCATCTCTCAATCTCTCTATCTCTCTCAATCATCTCTCTATCTATCTCTCAATCATCTCTCAATCTCTCAATCATCTCTGAATCTCTCTATCTCTCTCTATCTCTCTATCTCTCTCTATCTCTCTCTCTATCTCTCAATCATCTATCTATAAATCTCTCCCCGTGACGCCCGTAGGTGTTCGTGATGCGGCGTCTGGACCGCGAGGCACGTGACCGCTACCGGCTCCAGGCGCGTGCCAAGGACGCGGAGACGGGGCGGGCGCTGGCGGCTCCGTCGGACTTCGTGGTGACCGTGCAGGACGTGAACGACAACGAGCCGCGGTTCGTGGGCAGGCAGCCCTACTACGGCACGGTGCAGGAGATGGCCAGTGCAGGTACTCACTCACAGTACAGGTACTCACAGTGCAGGTACTCACAGTGCAGGTACTCACAGTACAGGTACTCACACACAGTACAGGTACTCACTCACAGTGCAGGTACTCACAGTGCAGATACTCACTCACAGTGCAGGTACTCACAGTGCAGGTACTCACAGTGCAGGTACTCACAGTGCAGGTACTCACAGTACAGGTACTCACTCACAGTGCAGGTACTCACAGTGCAGGTACTCACAGTGCAGGTACTCACACACAGTACAGGTACTCACTCACAGTGCAGGTACTCACAGTGCAGATACTCACTCACAGTACAGGTACTCACAGTGCAGGTACTCACAGTGCAGGTACTCACAGTGCAGGTACTCACAGTACAGGTACTCACTCACAGTGCAGGTACTCACAGTGCAGGTACTCACAGTGCAGGTACTCACAACAACAACAACAACCGCCATTCGCCACTAAGTGGCTGTGACGTCACCACGACGCTTGTGCCAGGCTATGTGCACCCTGAGGCCACGTGAAGTTTCGAACGCCCGCCGGCAGGAGATCACGGGGCAGACCCAGGTGCCATGGGTCGACTGACTGAGATTTCCGAGATGACTGGCTGATGCACCACCTGTACCCCCTACTGTGCCAACCTGCTGTGCCCTAGCCACCTGGCGCTCCGCTCGTTGTTCTGAGCGTCGCTCCTCCGCCCTCCGTTGTTGTTGGAGGGCGACTACCTCCAACTGCCCAGTAGCGTCCTTCACGAGCCTCCTCCACAGAGGCCGATCGTGACACCGCTGGTACCAGTCATCGGCAAGTCCACTCAGCTCCACGTCCTCCTGTACCACATCACTCCATCTCTTCTCTAGCCCGTGCCGCGCCCGCTTAGCCCCCTCAATCCGGCCGAACAAAAGCTGTTTCGGCATGGGGTGGCTGGGCATGCGGGCTACATGACCCAGCCATCGCAGCCTTGCCCGCCGGAGGAGCTCACCAATGGGACCTTGCCCAGATCTTTCAAGGATTTGTGAGCTCCTCACACAATCCAGCCTGGTTAAACCCAGGATGGATCGTAGGCAGGCCAGCCTAAATGTTTCTAACCGGCGAAGATGTTCTATTAGCGGGGTCCACGTTTCGCAAGCGTAGAGAAGGGAGGGAATGACCGTGGCCGAGAAGACCTGAAGCTTAGTGCGGAGCGACAGACCAGGTAGCTTCCACACAGCGTTACGCAACCGATGAAAATATATTGCCACTCGACTGATTCGGAGTGAGACCTCTGCTGTTAAACTGGAGCCAGTCATAAGCACACTGCCCAGGTATGGGAAACTCTCCACTCTCTCCACAACTGCCCCATCACCGATTGGGAGTTGTGGGGGTGGAGTGTCCGATGGTACAAAATACCCAGGCAGGTGCTTAGTTTTGGTGGGGCTGATGGTAAGGCCCCACCTCTTAATGGCACGCTCCAGTCTCAGCAGCAGCGTCTCCAACTCCTCCTCTGACTGAGTAGCTATTACCAAATCATCAGCATACATAACGTGGTTGAGCAATAGGGAGCCATCCCTTGACTGCACCCGGGCATCGATCAGCCTCCCATTATATCTGTACTATATGGAGATTCCCCCGGTACAGCTATTGAAGGCTTCACGAACTACGTGGTCAAAATAGATGTCGAATAATGTGGGAGCCAGAGGACATCCCTGTCGCACCCCAAGGTGTACAGGGAATGGCTCTGACTCCCGGCCACGTAGTTTTACCCGGGCCCGCTCACCATCATGAAGGTCCTTAATGATCGTGAGCTCACACAGTGCAGGTACTCACAGTGCAGGAACTCACTCACAGTGCAGGTACTCACACACACAGTCCAGGTACTTGCACACAGTCCAGGAACTCACTCACAGTCCAGGAACTCGCACACAGTTCAGGTACTGAGACACAGCGCAGGTACTCACACACAGTCCAGGTACTCGCTCACAGTCCAGGTATTCGCTCACACAAGCATACAAGTGTGGGACTCAGATTTCAGGCAACTGCTTTACGGCGCTGGTTGTGACTACTTGTGGGACCTCTGTATACATGTCTGTATGTCTGTATGTGTCTGTATGTGTGTATGTATGTGTCTGTATCTGTATGTATCTGTATGTATCTGTATGTGTCTGTATGTCTGTATGTGTCTGTATGTCTGTATGTGTCTGTATGTATCTGTATGTGTCTGTATGTCTGTATGTGCCTGTATGTATTTGTATGTGTCTGTATCTCTCTATCTATCTACATGTCTGCGTGCGTGGTCACATGAGTGTTTGAGTGTGCTTCTCAGCGAGGTTTAGTGTACGGGCTAGCGCACAACCAGATAACACGAGTTCCATTCCCGCACATGGCCAACAGCACCAGTGACGACCCTCTGAATAGGTCCTGGGCCTCTCCTAGATGGACTCATCCTCAAATGAGTACCTTGGGGCAGTGCATAAACATCGGCGCTCGGTAGAACAATGGCATCCGGGCGTGGTTGCTGGCCACCCACTCCCCTCGTGTTGCACCGTGCCGGCCTTCGTAAGTGCTGCTGGTCGCTAACAGCACTTGCCCCAACAGTCTGTTTGTCTGTGTCTCTGAGTGTGTGTACGAGTGAGTGTGTGTGTGAGTGTGTGTGAGTGTGTGAATGTGAGCGAGTGTGTGTGAATGTGTGTGCGAATGTGAGTGAGTGTGAGTGTGTGAATGTGAGTGAGTTTGTGTGTGAATGTGAGTGAATGTATGTGAATGTGCGTGAGTGTGTGTGAATGTGTGTGTGAGTGAGTGTGTGTGAATGTGTGTGTGAGTGTGAGTGAGTGTGTGAGTGAGTGTGTGTGAATGTGAGTGAGTGTGTGAATGTGAGTGAGTGTGTGTGAATGTGAGTGAGTGTGTGTGAATGTGTGTGCGAGTGTGTGAATGTGTGTGTGTGTGAATGTGTGAGTGTTTCTGTGAGTGTGTGTGAATGTGTGTGTGTGAATGTGAGTGAGTGTGTGTGTGGGAGCGGTGGTGTACCGTTCCGGCCTTCATAGGTGCTCGCTAACAGCACTTGCTCCCTACAGTCTGTTAAGGCTATATGGGGGATCTTTGTCTTTGTCTTTATCTTCGTGTGTGTGAGTGTTTGAGTGTGTGAGTGTGTGTGTGTGAATGTGAGTGAATGAGTGTGAGAGAATGTGTGTGAATGTGAGTGAATGAGTGTGAGAATGTGTGAGTGTGTGAGTGTGTGAGTGTGTGTGAATGTGTGTGTGTGAGAGAGTGTGTGTGAATGTGAGTGAATGAGTGTGAGAGTGTGAGTGTGTGAGTGTGTGTGTGAATGTGTGTGTGTGAGAGAGTGTGTGTGAATGTGAGTGAATGAGTGTGTGTGCCGGCCTTCACAGGTGCTGCTGCTCACTAACAGCGCTTGCCCCCGACAGTCTGCTTAAGGCTACACGGGATGGGGGGACGCTTTACATTTTGAGTGAGCGACTCATTAATTACGAACACGCTGGGTAACGCAGCTACACGTAGCCGACCCCGTCACACGACCCTTACCCCTCGTGGGCAACTTACGCAGCTTGCCCGACTAGCGGAGCGACGACGACGACGACGAGCCTTCGAGGATGATCGGCCACGTGGTCGGGGTAGGGACGCAGGAACCCGCGACAGGCACCGCACCTCTGCTATTGCTCCAACCCAGGGGTCACCAAACTTTTTTCACGGTGGGGCCGCGTAACAAATAAATATTTCTGGAGCGTCGGGGGCGGGAAAGATGCGCGTTTGTGTGCGTTGCCATGGAAACCATGCTAACGTGTTGCCATGACGTTGCCATGGAAACCGTGGTAACGTGTTGCCATGACGTTGCCATGGAAACCAAGGTAACGTCAGAGCGTGGGCGGAGCTACCCACGAGCCGGGGAAGGACCTGTGATGGCGCGAAATAAGCAAACATTACAATAAACAAGAAAATCTAGATACAATAATTTAAAATTTAAAATAGTAAATTTAAGGAACATAGCAGTCAGGAGGTCTCCGCACGCGTGAACATCTCCCAGTATTCCAAACATATTTAAATTGCATCACAACGTCTCGTGTCGCGTACGTTTTATCAACCAAATTCAAGTACCTTCGGCGAGCCTGATGGACTGATGGGCCGTAGTTTGGTGACCCCTGGTCCAGCCTAACGTGCCAAGCCCCGCCTCCGGGCCACGCCCCCCTTCCAGAACCTTCGACCGACTCCGCCTTTCGCCTGAACCCCCAGACACGCCCCGCCTCGTAACCGGACGTTGAGCAACGTACCCATGACCGGCGATTACCAGTGTCAGGCCGACAGGTGGCACCCTGCCATTGCACGCATGTATGCGTGTGTGTGTGGTGCGTGTGTTGTGTGTGCGTGTGGCAGGTACACTGGTGATGCGCCTCGAAGCCACGGATGCCGACGACCCTTCGTATGGGAATGCGGCGAAGCTGGTGTACACGCTGCACGAGGGGGGAGAGTATTTCAGCATCAACGCCAGCACAGGTGCTCGGCCCACAACTCGCGACAAAGATTCCCCGCGTAGCCTGTAACAGACCGTAAGGGGGGCGCCTACGAAGGCCGGCACGGTTCGCACGCGAGGAGGAGGGCCGGTTGATCCAGCAACCAACGCCCGGCCGCCTTTGTCTCCCCAGTGGCGATGTTTACTACACACTACTACCACTATATACACACACACACAGCAGCAGGTTACTCATTTGAGGCCGAGTCGACCTAGGGGATGGCCAGCACCAGTTCCGATAATCGTCACTTGCGTGTTTCGCGTCGGCCGTGAGCGGGGAATCGAACGCGGGTCGGCCGGGTTCGGTTTATATTATGTCAGGTTATTTCGGGTTACTTTGGTATCGAGCCCTGCGAGACATCCGGCTCTTGAATCGGGTGCAAACGCAACAAACCCCAAAAAAAACCAACAACAAAAACTAAAAAACACGAACAAGAAAAACGCCTTAAAGTGACAGCGTGTGTGTGACTCTGCGCAAAAAGAGAACATCCATGGGGGGGGGGGGGGAAACAAAAATAAAAACGGCAAAAATATTCCCGAAATGAAAAGCCACACCGTGTACACCACCAACGCTTTGCGCCAAAAAAGAAAATCCCAACGGGATGCAAAGTCAAACAACAACAACCACAACCACAAGAAAACTTAGATTTAAGGCCATCAGTCTAACTCCGTACTACCGCTACACCCACCGTCACACCAGCGACATCACGTACACTCAGCGTGTGCTCACCTACAACTAAACCCCCAACACACACACCAACACCATCAGGTACACTCAGCGTGTGCTCACCTACAACCAAACCCAACACTCACACCAACACCATCACGTACACTCAGCGTGTGCTCACCTACAACCAAACCCCCAACACTCACACCAGCACCATCACGTACACTCAGCGTGTGCTCACCTACAACCAAACCCAACACTCACACCAACACCATCACGTACACTCAGCGTGTGCTCACCTACAACCAAACCCCCAACACTCACACCAGCACCATCACGTACACTCAGCGTGTGCTCACCTACAACCAAACCCAACACACACACCAACACCATCACGTACACTCAGCGTGTGCTCACCTACAACCAAACCCCCAACACTCACACCAGCACCATCACGTACACTCAGCGTGTGCTCACCTACAACCAAACTCAACACTCACCAACACCATCACGTACACTCAGCGTGTGCTCACCTACAACCAAACCCCCAACACCCTCACACCAACACCATCACGTACACTCAGCGTGTGCTCACCTACAACCAAACCCCCAACACCCTCACACCATCACCATCACGTACACTCAGCGTGTGCTCGCCTACAACCAAACCCAACACACCCACACCACCACCATCACTACACTCAGCGTGTGCTCACCTACAACCAAACCCCCAACACTCACACCAGCACCATCACGTACACTCAGCGTGTGCTCACCTACAACCAAACCCCCAACACCCTCACACCAGCACCATCACGTACACTCTGCTTGTGTTCACCTACAACCAAACCCCCAACACCCTCACACCATCACCATCACGTACACTCAGCGTGTGCTCACCTACAACCAAACACCCAACACTCACACCAACACCATCACGTACACTCAGAGTGTGCTCACCTACAACCAAACCCCCAACACCCTCACACCATCACCATCACGTACACTCAGCGTGTGCTCACCTACAACCAAACACCCAACAATCACACCATCACCATCACGTACACTCAGCGTGTGCTCACCTACAACCAAACCCAACACCCTCACCAACACCATCACGTAAACTCAGCGTGTGCTCACCTACAACCAAACCCCCAACACCCTCACCAACACTATCACGTACACTCAGCGTGTGCTCACCTACAACCAAACCCAACACCCTCACACCAACACCATCACGTACACTCAGCGTGTGCTCACCTACAACCAAACCCCCAACACACCCACACCACCACCATCACTACACTCAGCGTGTGCTCACCTACAACCAAACCCCCAACACCCTCACACCAACACCATCACGTACACTCTGCGTGTGCTCACCTACAACCAAACCCCCAACACCCTCACCAACACCATCACGTACACTCAGCGTGTGCTCACCTACAACCAAACCCAACACACCCACACCACCACCATCACTACACTCAGCGTGTGCTCACCTACAACCAAACTCAACACTCACCAACACCATCACGTACACTCAGCGTGTGCTCACCTACAACCAAACCCCCAACACCCTCACACCAACACCATCACGTACACTCAGCGTGTGCTCACCTACAACCAAACCCCCAACACCCTCACACCATCACCATCACGTACACTCAGCGTGTGCTCGCCTACAACCAAACCCAACACACCCACACCACCACCATCACTACACTCAGCGTGTGCTCACCTACAACCAAACCCCCAACACTCACACCAGCACCATCACGTACACTCAGCGTGTGCTCACCTACAACCAAACCCCCAACACCCTCACACCAGCACTATCACGTACACTCTGCTTGTGTTCACCTACAACCAAACCCCCAACACCCTCACACCATCACCATCACGTACACTCAGCGTGTGCTCACCTACAACCAAACACCCAACACTCACACCAACACCATCACGTACACTCAGAGTGTGCTCACCTACAACCAAACCCCCAACACCCTCACACCATCACCATCACGTACACTCAGCGTGTGCTCACCTACAACCAAACACCCAACAATCACACCATCACCATCACGTACACTCAGCGTGTGCTCACCTACAACCAAACCCAACACCCTCACCAACACCATCACGTAAACTCAGCGTGTGCTCACCTACAACCAAACCCCCAACACCCTCACCAACACTATCACGTACACTCAGCGTGTGCTCACCTACAACCAAACCCAACACCCTCACACCAACACCATCACGTACACTCAGCGTGTGCTCACCTACAACCAAACCCCCAACACACCCACACCACCACCATCACTACACTCAGCGTGTGCTCACCTACAACCAAACCCCCAACACCCTCACACCAACACCATCACGTACACTCTGCGTGTGCTCACCTACAACCAAACCCCCAACACCCTCACCAACACCATCACGTACACTCAGCGTGTGCTCACCTACAACCAAACCCAACACACCCACACCACCACCATCACTACACTCAGCGTGTGCTCACCTACAACCAAACCCAACACCCTCACCAACACCATCACGTACACTCTGCGTGTGCTCACCTACAACCAAACCCCCAACACTCACACGATCACCATCACGTACACTCAGCGTGTGCTCACCTACAACCAAACCCAACACCCACACCATCACCATCACGTACACTCAGCGTGTGTTCGCCTACAACCAAACCCAACACCCTCACACCAACACCATCACGTACACTCAGCGTGTGCTCACCTACAACCAAACCCAACACCCTCACCAACACCATCACGTACACTCAGCGTGTGCTCACCTACAACCAAACCCCCAACACCCTCACCAACACTATCACGTACACTCAGCGTGTGCTCACCTACAACCAAACCCCCAACACCCTCACCAACACCATCACGTACACTCTGCGTGTGCTCACCTACAACCAAACCCCAACACCCTCACCAACACCATCACGTACACTCAGCGTGTGCTCACCTACATCCAAACCCCCAACACACCCACACCACCACCATCACTACACTCAGCGTGTGCTCACCTACAACCAAACCCAACACACCCACACCACCACCATCACTACACTCAGCGTGTGCTCACCTACAACCAAACCCCCAACACCCTCACACCAACACCATCACGTACACTAAGCGTGTGCTCACCTACAACCAAACCCCCAACACCCTCACCAACACCATCACGTACACTCAGCGTGTGCTCACCTACAACCAAACCCAACACACCCACACCACCACCATCACTACACTCAGCGTGTGCTGACCTACAACCAAACCCAACACACCCACACCACCACCATCACTACACTCAGCGTGTGCTGACCTACAACCAACCCCCCCCAACCCCCCGCCAGGCGAGCTGCGAACTCTTCAGGGGGACCTGGACCGCGAGGCATTGCCATGGCTACGCGCCGTGGTTACGGCTCGCGACATGGGCGGCCTGCAGGGGGGGCTCGTTGCCACGGCGACCGTGAGCGTCACCCTGGGAGACGTCAACGACAACCCGCCACGCTTCACCAACGGTGAGGGGGGGGGGGAAGGGGGGGGAGGGGCTTCGTCACTCACAGGGTACTCACTGTGTCTGTGTGTGAGTCTACGGGTCTCTGTGTGGTGAGTCTATGGGTGTCTGTGTGGTGAGTCTATGGGTCTCTGTGTGGTGAGTCTATGGGTCTCTGTGTGATGAGTCTGTGGGTCTCTGTGTGGTGAGTCTACGGGTCTCTGTGTCATCAGTCTATGGGTCTCTGTGTGGTGAGTCTATGGGTCTCTGTGTAGTGAGTCTATGGATCTCTGTGTGGTGAGTCTATGGGTCTCTGTGTGATGAGTCTACGGGTCTCTGTGTGGTGAGTCTACGGGTCTCTGTGTGATGAGTCTATGGGTCTCTGTGTGATGAGTCTATCGGTGTCTGTGTGTGAGTCTATGGGTCTCTGTGTGGTGAGTCTATGGGTCTCTGTGTAGTGAGTCTATGGGTCTCTGTGTGGTGAGTCTATGGGTCTCTGTGTGGTGAGTCTATGGGTCTCTGTGTAGTGAGTCTATGGGTGTCTGTGTGATGACTCTATGGGTCTCTGTGTGATGAGTCTATGGGTCTCTGTGTGATTAGTCTATGGGTGTCTGTGTGATGACTCTATGGGTCTCTGTGTGATGAGTCTATGGGTCTGTGTGTGATGAGTCTATGGGTCTCTGTGTAGTGAGTCTATGGGTCTCTTTGTGATGAGTCTGTGGGTCTCTGTGTGATGAGTCTATGGGTGTCTGTGTGATGATTCTTTGGGTCTCTGTGTGGTGAGTCTATGCGTCTCTGTGTGGTGAGTCTATGGGTCTCTGTGTGATGAGTCTATGGGTCTCTGTGTGATGCGTCTATGGGTCTCTGTGTGATGAGTCTATGGGTGTCTGTGTAGTGAGTCTATGGGTCTCTGTGTGATGAGTCTGTGGGTTTCTGTGTGATGAGTCTATGGGTCTCTGTGTGATGAGTCTATGGGTGTCTGTGTAGTGAGTCTATGGGTCTCTGTGTGATGAGTCTGTTGGTCTCTGTGTGATGAGTCTGTGGGTCTCTGTGTGATGAGTCTATGGGTCTCTGTGTGATGAGTCTATGGGATTAGCACGGTTGGCTACGTACGGTGCGATGGGAATTCAACGTGCGTCCATACAGGGGAAGGGGGGTGCTTGAGGCCTAAGGCGTTGTTAACGATCGCATGCGCTCTTCACGTAAGGGAGCGTCCAACTCAAGCCTGCATAGGAGCACAGATTGCATAGGGAAAGGTTCGCTTTCCAGCAATACTGCTCGTGAGCTATTGCTCCTTCGGTAGCTCGGCAAAGTCTCATTTTACGAGAGCAGAGCACTCGGGATCTTGTGGATGATTTTGCGAGGAGTAGGGCAAGAAAGACACCAATATAGGAAGGCATCACACAGCTGCTCTTAAAGAGGAGGATTGCGGCACCGGGGACGCAAGCCACCGACTACACATGTAGTAGTAGCTACTACTACATGTGTAGTAGTAGCTACATGTAGTAGTAGCTACTACCAAATGTAGCTACTATTACATGTGTAGTAGGAGCTACTACATGTGTAGTAGCTACTACTACACGTGTAGTAGTTACTACTACACGTGTAGTAGAAGTCGAAATCGCTGTCAACTTACTTAGTAGTAGCTACTACGCATGTAGTAGCTACGGGCCCCGCACTTTATTACTATAGTACTATACCGCCCTTCAACTTTTATGAACTACTGGGTGTTTAAGGTTAGCGATTTGTCGTATTATCTGGCTGTATAGCAAATGAAAAAATACAATTTACTTTACCTTGCAAGTGAAACATTTCCGTTTTAATATTTACGTTCTTCATTGATGTTTTCAGGGCCCCTTGATAACGTATGCTACAGGCCCCGCCGCTAGCTTCATCCGGCACCTCTGGCAATGCCAAATGGCTCGAGATGCCAGGCCTAGGGGTGGCGCACGTCGCGACAAACACCTCCCGCGTGTCATCAACTTACTTATTTTTCGGCGACCCCTTTCCCGCCGCACACGTGAACCCTGATTGGCGCGTCGTGTGGAGCTCGTCGAGGGGAATTGGCTCGGCGTGCCCCTCGCCTTCGGCGGGCACGAAATGACGTCGCAACGCAGTTCCATGCGGAAGCCGGGGGGCTTGTGGGTACCCCGGTGGTCCCGCCAGGAACTTTCAAACACAAATCTCGCGTCGTTCCAAAATGGCGCGCCGCAAGAAGGGCCTCAACCGGGGATTGCCTGCACCCAGTTTTTGCTTCTGCCGATGCGGCTGTCGGTAACAGCGGCCACTTCCGGGACGGTCGCTGAGGCGGTCCCTCCGACACCTGGAAGCGCACTGATAAGGGGTTGACAGGTATGGTGTAGTGTATAATGTAGTCTATAGTGTAGTGTATAGTGTAGTGTATAATGTAGTCTATAGTGCAGTGTATAGTGTGGTGTATCGTGTAGTGTATAGTGTAGTGTAGTGTATAATGTAGTCTATAGTGCAGTGTATAGTGTAGTGTATAATGTAGTCTATAATGTAGTGTATAGTGTCGTGTATAATGTAGTCTATAGTGTAGTGTATAGTGTAGTGTATAATGTAGTCTATAGTGTAGTGTATAATGTAGTGTATAATGTAGTCAATAGTGCAGTGTATAGTGTCGTGTATAATGTAGTCTATAGTGCAGTGTATAGTGTGGTGTATAGTGTAGTCTATAGTGTAGTCACTGTAGTGTATAGTGTAGTGTATAATGTAGTCTATAGTGCAGTGTATAGTGTGGTGTATAATGTAGTCTATAGTGCAGTGTATAGTGTGGTGTATAGTGTAGTGTATAGTGTAGTGTATAGTGTAGTGCATAATGTAGTCAATAGTGCAGTGTATAGTGTCGTGTATAACGTAGTCTATAGTGTAGTGTATAATGTAGTGTATAATGTAGTTTATAGTGCAGTGTATAGTGTAGTGTATAATGTAGTCTATAGTGTAGTGTATAGTGTGGTGTATAATGTAGTCTATAGTGCAGTGTATAGTGTGGTGTATAGTGTAGTGTATAGTGCAGTGGAAAGTAGTGTAGTGTCTGAATTGCTCTGTAATAAGCTAGGGCACTAGAGATGTTTTGGGACTCGTTTCTTTGCACAGGTGACGGAGTTCTTCGCCCCCAAGTTTGACTCGGACTCCCGTGCCCCATGCGTGTCGCGGCAAGAGCACAAGTTCTAGATTTGAAGCTTTGGTGACTGCAAGGATCCATGCTCTTTGGTTCTATTCGGTGAAGTCACGTAGGTAAAAAAAACATAAAACAACAAAAATCACGACGATTCGGCCTCAACACAAGTGGCCTTCATCAGGTGAAGGGATCAGGCTGTCTCGAGAAGGGATCAGGCTGTCCTCGAGACAGCCTGATCCCTTCACCTGATGAAGGCCGCTTGTGTCGTGGCCGAAACGTCGTGATTTTTGTTGTATTATTTTTTTTACCTACGTGACTTTACCGAATAGAACCAAAGAGCACGAGTCACAAGCGTAAGTGCGAACCGGGGATCAGCCGCGTGCTCTTGACACCGTGTTCCGCTAATTTCTGTCAAAAGGCAGACAGACGTGCAATGACGTCTGGGCTCAAGGGGATTGATCTCCCCACCCACCCACCCCAAAAAAAAAAAAATTCGCAAAAACTTGTTGCTGGCTGTCGGAGTATCAATACGGCGATAGGTGCGGGTAACGCAGGTCTTCTTTTCTTGACGAAGTTAAAGAGTTATTTTGGATCGCGGGCCGCTGGAGGCAGGGGACCCCCCCCCCCCCTACTCCACCCTTGCAGCGTGGCGCACACGGCTCTCCGAACCTCCAAGCAGAGGGGGGGGGGCGGCAAGCCCCCCCCCCCTCATTCTCCGGCGTGGGATGTTGTAGGCGCGTCGGGAGCGGGCCCTGTCGCCTTTCTCTCGGCGAGCCAGAACGCCTTGCTCCGTCAGCCAGGGTCTCTGGAGGGGTCTGGACCGCGTACCCAGTGCGGATATTATCAGTTGGTTGGAGGTGGCGGCGATGCCAATTCCGGCTGCAAGCGACGGTGCAATTCCTGTCCGCAGCCTTCGTCAGCTTGCCAAGGCCAGCCAATTGTGGGTTCGAATGGGGTCCTCGGTGGACGTCCCACCGCTGTAGCTCCACGTGAGGCGCTGGTGTCAACGACACGGGGCCCGCGTTTACTTTGCCATAAATATATTTGCTCATATTTTAGTTTGACTCGTCATGCGCGCATTCACGATGTTGCAGACGATGGACAGAAGCAGCTTCCTGCCATTGTTATTGAGCTGCTTTGGCCAATGCCCTTCCGGCCACTCCTGCACATTCGCTTGCATCTTGACTCACTTGGGGATTAGAGTCATGCAAAATGATAATAACTGTATCTTGAGGGGCCACTTTAGCCAGCGTGTGGGGGAGGAGGTCATAGAATTCATCTGACTCATCAGCCCATGCCTACATCCGTCCACGCATGTTCATCTTCGGTGTGCGTGTAAGCCATCACCACTATTCCTCACTTCCTGTTCATGGGGAGACAAGCCCACAATAGCCTGGGATTTACAGCTTCCCATACCTCACCATCACGCCCCCACAGCCGTATTCATTCGGAGGACGAGCCGCTTTATTGGTTGGTGTGAGCACACCTTTCTGTCCCCAGTGGCGATGTTCGATGATGGTGATTATGATTGGTGAATAACTGATGGATGTCGACAATGATGGTGGTGGCGATGATGGCAGTGATGGTAATGATGATGATGATGATCTTGATTTGAAGCTTTCGCGACTGCACGAATCCATACTCTTTGGTTCTTTCGGTGAAGTCACGTGGGTAGAAAATAATTATAGGTCACTACGTCTCGATCGCAACACAAGCGACAGTCATCGGGTGAGACAATCACAGCAGGGAGACTGCTGAAGCAGGCGCCTGCTTACCGAAAGAACCAAAGAGGATGATGATGATGATGTTGGTTGTGGTGGTGATGGCAGTGATGACGATGATGATGGTGATGTTGATGGTGGTGGTGATGGCAGTGATGGTAATGGTGATGATGATAATGGCAGTGATGGTAATGATGATGATGATGGCGGTGATGATCATGGTGGTGATGATGGTGATGATGATGGTGGTGATGATCATGGCGGTGATGATGGTGATGGTGATGATGATGGTGGTGGTGATGTTGATGGTGGTGGTGATGGCAGTGATGGTAATGGTGATGATGATGATAATGGCAGTGATGGTAATGATGATGATGGCGGTGATGATGATGGCGGTGATGATCATGGCGGTGATCATGGTGATGATGATGGTGATGGTGGTGATGATCATGGTGGTGATGATGATGATGGTGGTGGTGATGTTGATGGTGATGGCAGTGATGGTAATGGTGATGATGATAATGGCAGTGATGGTAATGATGGTGATGGCGGTGATGATCATGGCGGTGATCATGGTGATGATGATGGTGATGATGATGGTGGTGGTGGTGATGTTGATGGTGGTGGTGATAGCAGTGATGGTAATCATGATGATGATGGCGGTGATGATCATGGCGGTGATGATCATGGCGGTGATCATGGTGATGATGATGGTGGTGATGTTGATGGTGGTGATGATGGCAATCACAATGGCAATAATGATGATGGTAATGGTAATAATAAAAATGTTGATAGTGATGATGGTGATGCTGATAATGACGACGATGACGACGACGTTGATGATGGTGACGATGATGACGCAGCCTCCTTCGAGTTCCACGTGCGAGAGGGCGCCGCCCTGGGTGAGGAACTGGGCAGGCTCGGGGCCACGGACCCGGACGAGGGCCCCAACGCGGAGGCGGCGTTCCGCGTGTTGCCCTCGCCCTCCTCACTGTTCTTCCACGTCCACACGGACCCCGCCTCCAACCAGGGCGTCGTGACCCTCGCCCAGGTACCTCGTCATTCTCACCCTCCTCCTCCTACTCCTCCTCCTACTCCTCCTCCTCCTACTCCTCCTCCTCCTACTCCTCCTCCTCCTACTCCTCCTAAGTTAAGTGAATGTGCTGCGCAAGGCACATACTCCATCGGAGGGTTTTTGTGTTTTGTTTCAGGTGGGCCTGTAGCCCTTTGTATTTTCCTGACATGTAGCTTGCATTGTCACGTGACTGACCTCTACAGTTTGAGAGGTCCAACCCAAGGCCCTCCCCACCATCAAAGTCACAAAGTCTGCTAAACTTTGACCAATTAGCTCAAAGGCCAGGAATCGTTCCACCACATTCCCCGCTGCTGTTAACAAACCGGAGTATGGACGTCAATTGGTCCACACGTTACAGGCCTGCGGTGGAGTCAACAATTGTTGAGAAATATTTGGCATCCCGAATCTCACCTGCTACTGTTGGGCGAGTTTTCTGACCCATCAGTTCAATGAGTTCTTTCACAAATTGTCGACGGCAAATAGGACACCGTGTTTCTTCCTTTTCCGCCAACCAAACTTTTAAATATGTTCAGCTGAGAATGGGTGAAACTGTGATAGCCATTCTTGGATGTCAAGGAAAGTATCGTTATGGGTTGACCAAAAACCGTTCATCATCTGCCCCAAACGCAAGTCGTCGTTTCACCCAAGAACTTGATCACTGCTACAAGTCTTTTCAAAATGTCCCTCCCTTATTCACGTTCCCCATCAGATTGCTGCATGAGATCTCCATCTATAGCACTGCCCTTTGTCCGCTGGTGCAAGGCAAGCATGCGTGGATCTGCGTTCTGCACTCTATTCGTGTTCCCGTATTCTTCCAGAGTACTTCCAGTCACTAAAACACCTGGCTAAAGCCACAGAGCTTGCCGGAGAACTGTTTGCATACAAAACAGTTACACACAACCTGTTTAGGGTGAGTACAGTAGCCACTGTTCTTGAAACCTTCTGCCCATTTGGCAATATACAGTTCAGAAGTTCATGGTTGAAACTTCTAGTGCTTCCACCAAGCGCTCTATCTCGGACTGAAGTTCGGTATTTTTCACGGCGATTTTGGAAGGGGACTGCTCCTCTCTCAATGAGCACTGACTTACCAATGTCACTGGAAGTGTTCTTTGGTTCTTTCGGTAAAGGCACGTAGAATGAGAATACATTAATAAATTGATAAAATAAAATAACGCAATAAAATTCTCACGACGTTTCGGCCACAACACAAGCGGCCTTCATCAGGTGAAGGGACGAGACTGTCACTGATGAAGGCCGCTTGTGTTGTGGCCGAAACGTCGTGAGAATTTAATTGTGTTATTTTATTTTATCAATTTATTATTTTATTCTCATTCTACGTGACTTTACCAAAAGAACCACAGAAGATGAATCCTTGCAGTCACGAAAGCTTTAAATCGAAATTTCACTGGAAGTGCTTTGCCATAATGCAGGGTCAGTGACCTCACAGCACCAGGAATGGCTTTGGTTGCTGATTTGATTCTCGTGAGCTGCCCAACTGCTCCTGAGGTGGAAATGATGGTTCTCGTACACCATTAGCTGTTGAGGGTTTGCCTTCAAGGGATGGCTCTGGGGGGGAGTCACAACATTACTGGAAACTGATCTCGTGCCTGTTCCTTCATTACAGCTGGCAATATTTCCGCTGTCAGCGTTATTACTCTCAGAGGGTTTTTGATAGAAGTTGGCAATGAGTGGAACACTTTGAAGCAAAACTGCCTCTTTTTTTGGCTTTCCTTTTGGAAGAACAACCATTCCAACGTTTGTGGTTCGTATTTCAGAACCAGCATGCCATTCATATGAATATATTAATAGCATGCTAGCTTTACCACCCGGCTTCGCCCGGGACTTGGATCCTTGTTTTGGATTATCACGCGGCCAAAGCGGAGGGTGGCGGGGCAGGGGGATGCGTGACGTCAGCAGGCACGCTGCGTGACGCTGCCGCATGCGGGTGACATCACAGGTGTGACGTCACAGCTCACTTGCCGTGCAAAATATATCCATTATTGCGCCCCCCACCCACAAATACAAAAGTCTATTTTAATACTTTTTTGTATTGCATACAGTCTGGAAGCTACCCACATGCCAAATTCCAAGTTTAGATTTGAAGCTCTCGTGACTGCAAGGATCCATAATCTTTGGTTCTATTCGGTAAAGTCAGCTGATGAAGGCCACTTGTGTTGTGGACGAAACGTTGTGATTTTTTGTTATTTTATTTTTTTACCTACGTGACTTTACCGAATAGAACCAAAGATTATGTATACATTTCAAAGTTGTTTCATGTCGGGACGTATGCTAAACATTTCGAACAGACACAAACATTCACAAATTTCCCTTTTTTACATATATAGATCTCAATACTTATTAAACAATAATTAATTTTACATATATTAATAACGGCAACACTTTTGATTTAAAGCTTTCGTGACTGCAGGGATTCACATTATTGGTTCTTTAGGTAAAGTCACCACCACGTAGAAGGGAAACAATATCACCATCAGGTGTGATGATGATTGCTTGTGTTGCAGTCGAAACGTCGTGAGAATTTTATTGTTTTATAATTTTATTATTTTATTGTTTCCCTTCTACGTGGCGGTGACTTTACTGAAAGAACCAAGAATATAACGGCAACACTCTTCAAATACTGTTGTTGGAACATACAATCAACTGGTAGTATTTTATAGTCTGCTTTTGCCGAAAGGCAGCTTTGAGTATATAAAATAAAAATAAAATTAGAAAATTACGTAAAATTAAATAACCCTAACCCTTTAAAAAGGCTGTTAGAAAATAGCCCTTCGGGGGGGGGGGGGGGGGGGGGGGGATTGTTGAAATAGCCTTTAAAAAAGGCTGTTGTTTTTGAAAAAGATAAAAAGTCTCTGAATATATTACCGTGGAGCACCAGGCAAGAAAAACGGGCATCGGTCTGTTGGCTTTTCCTAACAAACAAATGTCTCACGGACCTGCCTGACACGGAGATAATTATGTTGCATTGGTTGAACAACCAATAAAGGTTTCTGATAAGTCAGTGAAGTGACTTAGTGGAGACTATGCACATTAGGCCACATCCCATCGATGGGGAAGGGGGAAAAAAAGACCTGGTGAGAGATTTTGATTTAAAGCTTTCGTGACTGCAGGGATTCACATTCTTGATTCTTTCGGTAAAGTCACCACCACGTAGAAGGGAAACAATAAAATATAGTTGTTTTATTGTTTTTTCTATTTTTATTATTTTGTTGTTTCCCTTCTAGGTGACTTTACCGAAAGAACCAAGAATATATCTCGTCAGAGCTGTCGTCAGTTTGCATGTCAACACTGGCATTATCTACTTCCGTGGATCTAAAAACAGACGGTCTATGGAAAAGTGAATGGGGTTTTCCTTAATCTTTAAGTATGGATTGGGTCTCTTATATATGCGTTAGCGTATGAACAAATATTGCTTTTGGCATATATTTTTTTAATGTTTCACAAAACCGCCGTGTATTTTTTTTAAATAATTGATTTGTCAACGGCTAACTAAGCTCTTGACAAACGACGAGTCCTCGGTCTCATTAGCTGGCTTTCTAGTGCAGCTAATTTGGTTTGTAAGGGCAGCTGGCTGGCAATGATGACAGCGAGCTGACTAATTTCTGTTAACAAGCTGAATCATACGGACAGCTAGCTAGGGAAAAATGGGCAACTCGCTAAAACAAAGGGATTGCAGGTTACGGTAAAGTCAAATAAACGAACGGCTTGCCGTAACATGACGCCCTTCAACACTGTCCTGTTACGCAGAATGAACTGACTTGTAGGTGAATATTGTATCTTGTCACGGCGTATTGTAGCGTGCCGACCAGTGGCTCGGTTGTACAGAAGCACTGTACTCTCCGAGAGGCTCTCGTTTTCAGCATGCGCTGTGTGTACCAAGAGGCCCCCAGGTGTTACGCTTGATGTGTGCACCCAGGGGCCTGGGGGCCCTAGTGGTCAACTCACGCTGTGAGCACCCAGAGGCCTGGGGGCCCTAGTGGTCAACTCACGCTGTGAGCACCCAGGGGCCTGGGGGCCCTAGTGGTCAACTCACGCTGTGAGCACTCAGGGGCCTGGGGGCCCTAGTGGTCAACTCACGCTGTGAGCACCCAGGGGCCTGTGGGCCCTAGTGGTCAACTCACGCTGTGAGCACTCAGGGGCCTGGGGGCCCTAGTGGTCAACTCACACTGTGAGCACTCAGGGGCCTGGGGGCCCTAGTGGTCAACTCACGCTGTGAGCACCCAGGGGCCTGGGGGCCCTAGTGGTCAACTCACGCTGTGAGCACCCAGGGGCCTGGGGGCCCTAGTGGTCAACTCACGCTGTGAGCACCCAGGGGCCTGGGGGCCCTAGTGGTCAACTCACGCTTTAAGCACCAAGGTGCAGCCATGGGTTGACGGTTGTGCCAGGCTAGGTGGACGAGGGGGTCACGGGACAGACGCAGGCGCAGCCATGGGTTGACGGTTGTGCCAGGCTAGGTGCACGAGGGGGTCACGGGACAGGCCCTGCAGGTGCAGCCATGGGTTGACTGCTGCTGCTGTGCCAGGCTAGGTGCACGAGGAGGTCACGGGACAGACCCAGCAGGTGCCATGGGTTGGCTGCTGTGCCAGGCTAGGTGCACGAGGAGGTCACGGGACAGACCCAGCAGGTGCAGCCATGGGTTGGCTGTTGTGCCAGGCTAGGTGCACGAGGATGTCACGGGACAGACCCTGCAGGTGCAGCCATGGGTTGGCTGCTGTGCCAGGCTAGGTGCACGAGGAGGTCACGGGACAGACCCAGCAGGTGCAGCCATGGGTTGACTGCTGCTGCTGTGCCAGGCTAGGTGCACGAGGAGGTCACGGGACAGACCCAGCAGGTGCCATGGGTTGGCTGCTGTGCCAGGCTAGGTGCACGAGGAGGTCACGGGACAGACCCAGCAGGTGCAGCCATGGGTTGGCTGTTGTGCCAGGCTAGGTGCACGAGGAGGTCACGGGACAGACCCAGCAGGTGCAGCCATGGGTTGGCTGTTGTGCCAGGCTAGGTGCACGAGGAGGTCACGGGACAGACCCAGATGCCATGGGTTGGCTGTTGTGCCAGGCTAGGTGCATTTCGGGTTGACCGAAATGAATGGCGCTTGATTGCAGGCTCTCGGCTGCACGAGACCGTGAATTGTGATTAAACACTGTGTAACACGAATTTTTCTTCATGCGTAGTAAGTGTTATTTTCTAAATGCTTACGCCTCAAAAGCATAGAAGAACATGGTTGTTATTATTATCATTATTCCCCACAAACTCTGCTTTTGTGACCAGGATTTTAAGTGAAGAAATTACACAAACGCACGCCACGTTTTTTTTTTTAATTGCAAATAGGTACATTTATAAATATCACTGCCCTGGTCACAAAAGCAAAGCTTACGGGGAATAATATCCATTTTTTTCGTACTTTAAAGGCATAAACAATTGGAAAATAACACTTGGTACCCAGAAACAAAAAAATATACATTTGTTACACACATTTGTTATTAACGGAGTGGATTATTAACATTGCTTTTATGTCCTGGTCACAAAAGCTAAGTTCGTGGGAATATCCATTTTCTGTTCTTGCGAGGCATAGACAATTGTAAAATAACACTTATTACCCAGGAGCAAAAATATATTTATATATATACGTATTATTTTGTTACACAGTGTATTCTAGATTTGAAGCTTTCGTAACTGCAAGGATCCATACTCTTTGGTTCTATTCGGTAAAGTCACCACGTAGGTAAAAAAAATAAAACAACAAAAATCACGACGTTTCGGCCACAACACAAGTGGCCTTCATCAGGTGAAGGGGCCGCGCTGTCATGAGGACAGCGCTGGAGTTGAATTGATAGCCTCTACGGGGAGGGTTTTCACCCCATCTGTTAGAGCTTCTAACAGACAACGAGACAAGAAGTGACAGCTCATCGAGACGCTGACCTTCCTCTGAGCTTGGCTGTGTTCACTCCAGCGCTGTCCTCGAGACAGTCTGGCCCCTTCACCTGATGAAGGCCGCTTGTGTTGTGGCCGAAACGTCGTGATTTTTTTTTGTACCTACGTGGTGACTTTACCGAATAGAACCAAAGAGTGTTACGCGGTGTATTCTGTGAATTGCCAGCACCATCTAGACACCCATCAAAGTTTAAAGTCACCTGCAGCACCTGTTTATCTACCCTTGTCTCAGCGCGTCGATATCTCAACACCTCCCTGTGTCTACCCCTCTACCACCCCATCACCCCTTGTCTCCCCTCGTGTCCCACGTGTCTCCCTTCTCCACCCGTGTCCCCCTTGTCCCCCCCCCGTCCCCCCCCGTGTCTCCCCTTCTCCTCCTCCCGTGCCCCCCCTTGCCCCCCCCCCGTGTCTCCCTCTTGTCCCACCCCCCTTGTCCTCCCCCCCCCCCGTTCCCCCAGCGGCTGGACTACGAGAGACAGAGCTCTCACGCGCTGCGAGTCCAGGTGCTGAGCGCGTCGCGCCCCCAGGGCGTGCCCGTGCCCTGGGGGCCCCCGCACGAGGCGGCGCTGCTGGTGGTGGTGGGCGACGAGGACGAGCCGCCCGCATTCTCGGCGCCTCGCTACCGCTTCCACGTCTCGGAGGCGGCCAAGCCGGCCACGGCCGTGGGCTCCGTGACGGCACGAGACCCCGACCACGCGCGACGGCCCATCCGGTGAGAGTGTGGTGTGTGTGGTGTGTAGGGGGTGTGTAGGGTGTGTGTGTGGAGTGTGTGGTGTACGTGTGTAGTGTGTGTGTGTAGGGTGTGTGTAGGGTGTTTGTGTTAGTGTGTGTGTGTAGGGTGTGTGTGTGTAGTGTGTGTGTGTGGTGTGTGTGGTGTGTGTGTGTGTGTGGTGTGTGTGTAGGGTGTGTGTGTGGTGTGTGTGTGAGTGTGTGTGGTGTGTGTGTAGGGTGTGTGTGTAGGGTGTGTGTGTGGTGTGTGTGGTGTGTAGGGTGTGTGTAGGGTGTGTGTGTAGTGTGTGTGTGTAGTGTGTAGGGGGTGTGTAGGGTGTTTGTGTTAGTGTGTGTGGTGTGTGTAAGGTGTGTGTAGGGTGTGTGTGTGAGTGTGAGTGTGTGTGGTGTGTGTGTAGGGTGTGTGTAGTGTGTGTAGTGTGTGTGTGTGAGTGTGTGTGGTGTGTGTGTAGGGTGTGTGTGTAGTGTGTGTGTATGCAGGGTGTGTGTAGTGTGTGTGTAGGGTGTGTGTGTGTTGTGTGTGCGTGTGTGAGTGTGTGTGTGTAGTGTAGTGTGTGTGTAGTGTGTGTGGTGTGTGTACGTGTGTGTACGTGTATGTGTGTGTAGTGTGTGTGTGTAGTGTGTGTGTAGTGTGTGTGTGCGTGTGTGAGTGTGTGTGTGTAGGGTGTGTGTGTGTAGTGTGTGTGTGTGTAGGGTGTGTGTGTGTAGTGTGTGTGTGTAGTGTGTGCGTGTGTAGTGTAGTGTGTGTGTGAGTGTGTGTGTGTAGGGTGTGTGTGTAGGGTGTGTGTGTGTGAGTGTGTGTGGTGTGTGTACGTGTGTGTGTACGTGTATGTGTGTGTGTAGTGTGTGTGTGTAGTGTGTGCGTGTATAGTGTAGTGTGTGTGTGAGTGTGTGTGGGGTGTGTGTGTGTAGTGTGTGTGAGTGTGTGTAGTGTGTGTGTGTAGTGTGTGTGGTGTGTGTACGTGTGTGTGTACGTGTATGTGTGTGTAGTGTGTGTGTGTAGTGTGTGTGTGTAGTGTAGTGTGTATGTGAGTGTCTGTGTGTGGTGTGTGTGTGAGTGTGTGTGTGTAATGTGTGTGTGTGCGTGGGGTGTGTGTGGGGTGTGTGTGTGAGTGTGTGTGTATAGTGTGTGTAGTGTGTGTGTAGTGTGTGAGTGTCTGTGTGTGTGTAGTGTGTGTGTGTAATGTGTGTGAGTGTGTGTGTACGTGTATGTGTGTGTGTAATGTGTGTGAGTGTGTGTGTGTGTACGTGTATGTGTGTGTGTAATGTGTGTGAGTGTGTGTGTGAGTGCGTGTGTGTGAGTGTGTGTAGTGTGTGTGTGTGTACGTGTGTGTACGTGTATGTGTGTGTGTAATGTGTGTGTGTAATGTGTGTGTGTGCGGTGTGCGTGCGTGTGTGTAAGTGTGTGTGTGAGTGTGTGTGTGAGTGTGCGTGCGTGTGTGTATGCGTGTGTGTGGGGGGTGTGTGTGTAGGGTGTGTGAGTGTGCGTGTCTGTGTATGGTGTGTGAGTGTGCGTATGGGGTGTGTGAGTGTGTGTGTGAGTGTAGTGTGTGTGTAGTGTGTGTGTAGTGTAGTGTGTGAGTGTGTGTGGGGTGTGTGTGAGTGCGTGTGTGTATATGTGTGTGTGAGTGTGTCTGTGTGTGAGTGTGTGTGAGTGTGTGTGTGTAATGTGTGTGTAAGTGTGTGTGTGGTGTGTGTATGTGTGTGTGTAGTGTGTGTGTGAGTGTGTGTGTGGTGTGTGTGTGCGAGTGTGTGTGTGTAATGTGTGTGGTGTGTGTGTGTATGTGGTGTGTGTGAGTGTGTGAGTGTGTGTGCGAGTGTGTGAGTGTATGTGTGTGGTGTGTGGAGTGTGTGGGGTGTGTGTGTGTGAGTGTATGTGTGTAATGTGTGTGTGATGTGTGTGTGTAGTGTGTGAGTGTGTACGTGTGTGTGTAGTGTGTGTGTGTGTAGGGTGTGAGTGTGTGTGTATGAGTGTGTGTGTGTGAGTGTGTGAGGGTGTGTGTGGTGTGTGTGTGTGTGTGAGTGTGTGTGTGCGTGTGTGTGTGCGTGAGTGTGTGTGCGTGTATGTGTGCGTGTGCATGCGTGCGTGTGTGTGCGTGCGTAAGTGCGCGTGTGTGTGCGTGCGTGCGTGTGTGTGCGTGGTTTAATTAATAAGCTTGTGCCGGAGGCCCCGGGGGGACAGGCGTCTTTGACGTCTCCTGGCCAAACCCCAATTGGCGGAGCGAGGACATTGAATCTCTACCCTCGGGGCTCCTCCAGAAACAACGAAAAGCCACTACGGATGGCCACGTGGAATGTTCGAACGCTCACTGCGGAGGAGAGGCTGCCACTCCTCTGTCGGGAGCTGGACCGGTACCGCCCGGACCTCTGTGGCATTCAGGAGGTCCGGTGGACCGGCTCTGGCTCTTGCCTTCATGAGGGGTGGACAGTCCTCTACTCGGGGCAGGAGACTACCAAACAACAGGGTGTGGCTCTTCTTCTTAAGAAAATAATGAATGGGGGCGTGAGAGCGTGGCGGTGAGGTGTGGGAAGCTGTAAGCCCCAGGCTAATTTGGGCTCGCCTTGCCATCAACCAGAGGCGAGGAGTGGTGGTCGTGGTTGTTTATGCCCCCACCGAAGGCGAACATCCGTGGAGGGATGCAGGCAAGGCCAATGATTCAGATGCCTTCTATGACCTCCTGTCACAAGTGCTGGCTAAAGTGGCCCCTCGGGATAGAGTCATCTTGTTCGGTGACTTCAATGCCCGAGTTGGTCATGATGCTGGCCCCTGGTCTGGAGTGATTGGAAGACATGGGCCAGATCAGCTCAATAACAACGGTAGGAGGCTGCTAGATTTTTGTGCAGCCCATGGGCTTGTAATTACCAACACGCTGTTCTGGCATCGGCACATCCACACGACATCATGGATGCATGCCGGGTCCAAGCAAGCACATCTGCTGGACTATATAGTGATAGAACAGCGGATGCAGGCCCATGTCCTTGACACCAGGACCTACCGTGGAGCTGATCTGCCCTCTGACCATCGACTAGTCATCTGTAAGATGCGCCTGCCATTATTTCACTCCGGTGGTGGGTGTACACCCAGGACCCCATTCCAACCCAAAGTGGCCTGGTTTCAGTTATCTGATGAAAGTTGCAAGCGAGAATTTCATCATCGCTTGCGGCTGGGGTTGCTATCGTCCCCCACTCCTCCAGATGTCGAGGGTAAATGGGCGAGGTTTAGGATTTTGACTCAGGCAGCTGCAATGGCTGCTTTGGGTACGCGGTGCAGACCTCCCCAGAGACCCTGGCTGACAGAGGAGGTGTTCAGGATGGCTGAGAAAAAGCGACAGACCCACTGTCATCGGTTACAGAATCCCACGTCAGAGAATGAGGAGGCTTACCGCAGCCTTCGCTCGGAGGTTCGGAGGGCCGTGAGGTGCTGCAAGGATGGGTGGTGGTCACGGATTGCTGAGGAGATGGAGTCTGCCTCAATGGCCGCGATCACAAATCCCTATTTAACTCCATCAAAAAAGTAACCTGCAGTGCCACACCTATTATCATCATTAGGGGAAAAAACGGTGATCCAATCTCCGACCCCCAGGAACAAGTTTGCAGATTTGCTGAGCATTTCTGTGAAGTCCTGGGGGAGGGGAAATCCCTCGACATGGAAGACATCGTGGGACAAAGTGGGGATGTCCCTGCTGAGGCTACGGTGCCTCAAATATTGGAAGAAGAAGTCATCCCCTGTGAGAGACTGGCTGAGGTGCCATCTGTTGAGGAAGTACTAAAGGCGATCCAGAGTCTGAGACCAGGAAAGGCACCGGGCAGAGATAATCTCCCAAGAAATATGCTGAGGGTGGGTGGCGTTTGTGCACAGACTGCCCTACATGACATCATAACAACAGTCTGGACCACTGGACGGGTCCACAGGATTGGAAGCATGCCCTGGTGGTCCCCCTCTTTAAGAAGGGGGACCGCACAGACTGTAACAGCTATAGGGGCATCTCACTCCTCAGTGCGGAAAGGTCCTGGCAAGGATTTTTCAACATCGCCTTGCCAGGCACGCTGAGGAGAGGCTTGCGGAGCCTCAATGTGGTTTCAGGAAAGGGCGGTCCTGCACAGATGCCATATTTTCTGTCTGTTTGCTACAGCAGAGGTGTAGGGAATTCCAACAAGACCTATATCTCTGCTTTATTGACCTGGTCAAGGCCTATGATACCATCAGTAGGCCTGGGCTCTGGGTTGTTCTTTGTGCTTTCGAAGTACCTGACCCCTCTGCTCACGATCGTTAAGGACCTTCATGATGGTGAACAGGCCCGGGTAAAACTACGTGGTCGGGAGTCGGAGCCATTCCCTGTTCACCTTGGGGTGCGACAGGGATGTCCTCTGGCTCCCACATTACTTAACATATTTTTCGACCACGTAGTTCGTGAAGCCTTTGATGCCTGTACCAGAGAAATTTCCACCTGGTACAGATACAATGGGAGGCTGATCGATGCCCGGGTGCGGTCAAGGGATGGCTCCCTATTGCTCAACCACGTTATGTATGCTGATGATTTGGTAATTTCCGCTCACTCAGAGGACTAGTTGGAGGCGCTGCTGCTGGAACTGGAGCTTGCCACCAAGAGGTGGCGCCTTACCATCAGCCCCACCAAAACTAAGCACCTGCCTGGGTATTTTGTACCATCGGGCAACCCACCCCAACAACTCCCAATCGGTGATGGGGCACTTGTGGAGAGAGTGGAGAGTTTCCCATATCTGGGCAGTGTGCTCATGACCGGTTCCAGTTTAACAGCAGAGGTCTCACTCCGAATCAGTCGAGCGGCAATATCTTTTCATCGGTTGTGTAACGCTGTGTGGAAGGTACCTGGTCTGTCGCTCCGCACGAAGCTTCAGGTCTTCTCGGCCACAGTCATTCCCTCCCTTCTCTATGTTTGCGAAACGTGGACCCCCCAATGGAACATCTCCGCCGGTTAGAGACATTTAGGCTTGCCTGTCTGCGATTGTGTGAGGAGCTCACACATCGGTGAGCTCCTCCGGCAGGCAAGGCTGCGTTGGCTGGGTTATGTAGCCCGCATGTCGAGCCACCGCATGCCTAAAAAGATTTAGTTTGGCCGGATAGAGGGTTCTAAACTGGCGCAGGATGGGCTAGAGAAGAGATGGAGTGATGTGGTACAGGAGGACGTGGAGCTGAGTGGACTTGCCGATGACTGGTACCAGCGGTGTCAAGATCGGCCTCTGTGGAGGAGGTTCGTGAAGGATGCTATTGGGCAGTTGGAGGCAGTCGCCCTCCAACAACAAAGGACGGCGGAGGAACGACGCTCACAGCAACGAGCGGAGCGCCGGGTGGCTAAAGCACAGCAGGTTGGCACAGTAGGGGGCACAGGTGGTGCATCGGCCAGTCATCTCAGTCGTCTCTGTCAGTCGACCTGTGGCACCTGGGTCTGCCCCGTGACCTACTGCCAGCGGGCGTTCGACATTTCACGTGGCATCAAGGTGCACATAGCCTGGCACAAGCGTCGTGGTGACGTCACCGCCACTTAGTGGCGAATGGCGCTTGTTGTTGTATGTGTCTCACCTGGTGTGTGTGTCTCACCTGGGGTGTGTGCGTGTCTCACCTGTGTTCGTGTCTCACCTGTGTGTCTCACCTGTGTGTGTGTCTCACCTGTGTGTGTATCTCACCTGTGTTTGTGTCTCACCTGTGTCCGTGTCTCACCTGGTGTGTGTCTCACCTGTGTGTGTGTCTCACCTGGGGTGTGTCTCACCGTGGCACAAAGTGAGGATGACCCTGCTGAGGCTGCGGTGCCTCAAATATTGGATGAAGTCACCCCCTGTGAGTGGCTGGCTGAGGTGCCATCTGCTGAGGAAGTATTGAAGGCGATCCGGAGTCTGAGACCAGGAAAGGCAGCGGGCAGAGATGATCTCCCAAGCGAAATGCTGAGGGAGGGTGGCGTTTGTGCACAGACTGCCCTATATGACATCATAACAACAGTCTGGACCACTGGACGGGTTCCGCAGGATTGGAAGGATGCCCTGGTGGTCCCCCTTTTTTAAGAAGGGGGACCGCACAGACTGTAACAACTACAGGGGCATCTCACTCCTCAGTGTGCCGGGAAAGGTCCTGGCAAGGATTATTCAGCATCGCCTTGCCAGGCACGCTGAGGAGAGGCTTGCGGAGCCCCAAAGCGGTTTCAGGAAAGGGCGGTCCTGCACAGATGCCATATTTTCTGTCCGTCTGCTACAGCAGAGGTGTAGGGAATTCCAACAAGACCTACATCTCTGCTTTATTGACCTGGTCAAGGCCTATGATACCATCAGTAGGCCTGGGCTCTGGGTCGTTCTTCGTGCTTTTGGAGTACCTGCCCCTCTGCTCACGATCATTAAGGACCTTCATGATGGTGAGCGGGCCCGGGTAAAACTACGTGGCCGGGAGTCAGAGCCATTCCCTGTACACCTTGGGGTGCGACAGGGATGTCCTCTGGCTCCCACATTATTTAACATCTATTTTGACCACGTAGTTCGTGAAGCCTTCAATAGCTGTACCGGGGGAATCTCCATATGGTACAGATATAATGGGAGGCTAATCGATGCCCGGGTGCGGTCAAGGGATGGCTCCCTATTGCTCAACCACGTTATGTATGCTGATGACTTGGTAATAGCTGCTCAGTCAGAGGAGGAGTTGGAGACGCTGCTGCTGAGACTGGAGCGTGCCACTAAGAGGTGGGGCCTTACCATCAGCCCCACCAAAACTAAGCACCTGCCTGGGTATTTTGTACCATCGGACACTCCACCCCCACAACTCCCAATCGGTGATGGGGCAGTTGTGGAGAGAGTGGAGAGTTTCCCATACCTGGGCAGTGTGCTTATGACTGGCTCCAGTTTAACAGCAGAGGTCTCACTCCGAATCAGTCGAGCGGCAATATCTTTTCATCGGTTGCGTAACGCTGTGTGGAAGCTACCTGGTCTGTCGCTCCGCACTAAGCTTCAGGTCTTCTCGGCCACGGTCATTCCCTCCCTTCTCTACGCTTGCGAAACGTGGACCCCCCTAATGGAACATCTTCGCCGGTTAGAAACATTTAGGCTGGCCTGCCTACGATCCATCCTGGGTTTAACCAGACTGGATTGTGTGAGGAGCTCACAAATCCTTGAAAGATCTGGGCAGGGTCCCATCGGTGAGCTCCTCCGGCAGGCAAGGCTGCGATGGCTGGGTCATGTAGCCCGCATGCCCAGCCACCGCATGCCGAAACAGCTTTTGTTTGGCCGGATTGAGGGGGCTAAGCGGGCGTGGCACGGGCTAGAGAAGAGATGGAGTGATGTGGTACAGGAGGACGTGGAGCTGAGTGGACTTGCCGATGACTGGTACCAGCGGTGTCAAGATCGGCCTCTGTGGAGGAGGCTCGTGAAGGATGCTACTGGGCAGTTGGAGGCAGTCGCCCTCCAACAACAACGGAGGGCGGAGGAGCGACGCTCACAACAGCGAGCGGAGCGCCGGGTGGCTAAAGCACAGCAGGTTGGCACAGTAGGGGGCACAGGTGGTGCATCAGCCAGTCATCTCAGTCAGTCGACCCGTGGCACCTGGGTCTGCCCCGTGACCTCCTGCCAGCGGGCGTTCGACACTTCACGTGGCCTCAGGGTGCACATAGCCTGGCACAAGCGTCGTGGTGACGTCACCGCCACTTAGTGGTGAATGGCGGTTGTTGTTGTTGTTGTCTCACCTGTGTGTGTGTCTCACCTGTGTGTCTCACCTGTGTCCGTGTCTCACCTGTGTGTGTCTCACCTGTGCGTCTCACCTGTGTGTGTCTCACCTGTGCGTCTCACCTGTGTGTGTCTCACCTGTGCGTCTCACCTGTGTGTCTCACCTGTGTGTCTCACCTGTGTGTGTGTCTCACCTGGGGTGTTCGTGTCTCACCTGTGTGTGTGTCTCACCTTTGTGTGTCTCACCTGTGTGTCTCACCTGTGTGTGTGTCTCACCTGTATGTGTCTCAACTAGGTCCGTGCTCACCTGTGTGTCTCACCTGTGTGTGTGTTTGTGTCCCACCTGCCCAGGTACCGCGTGGAGGGAGCCGGTGTGTTCGAGATGAACGCGGTGAGCGGGGAGCTGAGCACGCGGGAGACTCTGGACCGGGAGACAACTCAGCTGTACAACTTGAGCGTGTGGGCCTACGAGGAAGGTACACAAACATACAAACACACTCACAACACTCACTCACTCACAACACTCACAACACTCACAACACTCACAAAACTCACTCACTCACAACACTCACAACACTCACTCACTCACACCACTCACTCATTACACCACTCACTCACAACATTCACAACACTCACAACACTCACTCACTCACAACACTCACTCACAACACTCACAACACTCACAACACTCACAAAACTCACAACACTCACTCACAACACTCACTCACTAACAACACTCACTCACTCACAACACTCACAACACTCACTCATTCACAACACTCACTCATTCACAACACTCACTCATTCACTAACTCACTCACTCATTACACCACTCACTCACAACACTCACAACACTCACTCACAACACTCACAACACTCATTCACTAACTCACTCACTCACACCACTCACTCACAACAGTCACTCACTACACGACTCACTCACTCACAACACTCACTCACTCACACCACTCACTCACAACACTCACTCACAACACTCACTCACTCACAACACTCACTCACAACACTCACTCATTACACCACTCACTCACTCACACCACTCACTCACACCACTCACTCACTCACAACACTCACTCACTAACTCACACACTCACACACAACACTCACTCACTCACACACTCACAACACTCACTAACTCACACACCACTCACTCACTCACAACACTCACTGACTCATAACACTCACTCGCTCACAACGCTCACTCACTCACACCACTCACTTACTCACTCACACCACTCACCACTCACTCACTCACAACACTCACTCACTCACAACACTCACTCACAACACTCACTCACTCACAACACTCACTAACTCACACACCACTCATTCATTCACACCACTCACTCACTCACAACACTCACTCACTCATAACACTCACTCACAACACTCACTAACTCACACACCACTCACTCACTCACACCACTCACTCACTCACCACACATTCACTCACTCACACACTCACTCACTCACTCATAACACTCACTCACTCACACCACTCTCCACTCACTCACTCACAACACTCACTCTCTCACAACACTCACTCACAACACTCACTCACTCACAACACTCACTCACACCACTCAACTCACACCACTCACTATCTCACACCACTCACTCACTCACACCACTCACTCACTCACTCACACCACTCACCACTCACACCACTCACACCACTCACTATTCACTCACACACCTCTCACTCACTTACTCCCACCACTCACTCACACCACTCACTCACTCACAACACTCACTGAGTGAGTGAGTGGTGAGTAAGTGGTGAGTGAGTGGTGAATGAGTGAGTGAGTGGTGAGTGAGTGGTGAGTGAGTGAGTGGTGAGTGAGTAGTGAGTGAGTGGTTAGTGAGTGGTGAGTGAGTGGTGAGTGAGTGGTGAGTGAGTAAGTGGTGAGTGAGTAGTGAGTGAGTGGTTAGTGAGTGGTGAGTGAGTGGTGAGTGAGTGGTGAGTGTGTCTAGGTGTGCCAAGCCAGGGCAGCCGTGTCGGGGTGGAGGTGGTGGTGGTGAGTGAGTGGTGAGTGAGTGAGTGGTGAGTGAGTGAGTGAGTAGTGAGTGGTGAGTGAGTGGTGTGAGTGAGTGGTGAGTGAGTGAGTGAGTAGTGAGTGAGTGAGTAGTGAGTGAGTGAGTGAGTTGTGAGTGGTGAGTGAGTGGTGAGTGAGTGGTGAGTGTGAGTGGTGAGTGAGTGAGTGGTGAGTGGTGAGTGGTGAGTGAGTGGTGAGTGATGAGTGAGTGGTGAGTGAGTGCTGTGTGAGTGTGTCTAGGTGTGCCAAGCCAGGACTGCTATGTCTGGGTGGAGGTGGTGGTGAGTGAGTGGTGAGTGAGTGAGTGGTGAGTGAGTGAGTGGTGAGTGAGTAGTGAGTAGTGAGTGAGTAGTGAGTGAGTGAGTGAGTTGTGAGTGAGTGAGTTGTGAGTGGTGAGTGGTGAGTGGTTGAGTGGTGAGTGAGTGAGTAGTGAGTGGTGAGTGAGTAGTGAGTGAGTGAGTAGTGAGTGGTGAGTGAGTGGTGAGTGAGTGAGTGAGTAGTGAGTGAGTGAGTGGTGAGTGAGTGGTGAGTGAGTGCTGTGTGTGTGTCTAGGTATGCCAAGCCAGGACAGCCGTGTCTGGGTTGAGGTGGTGGTGACGGACGTCAACGACAATGCCCCGCAGCCCAAGCCTACAGTCGCTCACACGTGCGACATCGTCACCGAAGGGCAGGTGAGCGACGCTCACAACAACGAGCGGGCCGCCGGGTGGTTAAAGCGCAGGTGGTGCATCAGCCAGTCATCTCAGTCAGTCAACCCGTGGCACCTGGATCTGCCCTGTGACCTCCTGACAGCGGGCGTTCGACACTTCACGTGGCCTCAACGTGCACCTGGCCTGGTGCTCGACCAGATGGCGTCATCTGGTCGAGCACCAATTGGGTCGAGGCTCAAAAGAAAGCCGTCCCTTGGTGTGGACCAATCAGTTTCAAGGACAATGCATCATATTATCATAGTATGTTTTTTGTTTGCATTTTGACAGCAGGTATTGTGGTTAATGCAGCAACATGAATCCTTGTTAAAAGGTTTCAGTTTTGTTGCCAGAAAAAAGGGGACAAACTCTTTTATTACCCGCACCTTGAATTTTGATTTAAAGCTTTCGTGACTGCAGGGATTCATATTCTTGGTTCTTTCGGTAAAGTCACCACCACGTAGAAGGGAAACAATAAAATAATACAAATATAAAACAATAAAATTCTCACGACATTTCGACTGCAAACACAAGAAGCAATCATCATCGTCAGGTGTGAAAACCACAACAAGAAAATTTGAAAAAAAGTTGCGTTTTTTTTAACGTTAGCACCACGGAGAGCGATTTGACAGTCATTCAGATGGACGAGTCCATCTATGTTCGTTAAAGAGGAGGGGGGGAGACGAAAATAATGGATGCGGTCTGAAAGCCACCTTAAGCGTGATAAATCAATTAAGAAGACCCGAAATGGTTTATCAAATCCTTCCAATGATTGCTAAGCCAGAATCCATCTTCTCGGTTGAAATTGTCTCTGTGTTTGTTTGTATATGCGGATAGCCTCATGAACGAATCTCTCATGGTGACTTTACCAAAAGAACCAAGAATATGAACCCCCCCCCCCCCCCACCCTGGCTTACCACGCTCCACCAAAGAATGACAAACTGAAAGACAGCGCCACTGTGGATCGAGGCTTTAAACCAGGGGCGGTGAACGTCTGGCGTGGCTCTGCCGAAGGTAACCGCAGGCGGGCCTCGAAATTCAATGAATCTAGAGGCAAAACCTTGAAAAGCGGTTGCGGGTAGCAGCGGCGGCGGCATCATCGTCAATAGCCGGCTAACATCGTCATCGCCATGCATCGACAAAGAGAAGCGGTTCCAGACCATCGCATTGGGAGGGGCGGCGAGTTAATGAAATGTTTGGCCAAATATAACGGGCAAAATTTTTAAGTTGATCATTTTGCATGGCCCGCGAATGACGTTACATAAATATCCGAATGGCCCTTGGCAGAAAAAAAAAAACGTTTCCCACCCCCTGAGGGGGTGGATTGAGGCAGAGAACAATGGGAGAGAGTTGAGTGAAATTCCTGCCCCTAGTGGCCGTGGTAGAGACAATGGAATGGAGGGGGGAGGGGTTGGGGCAGAGAGAGAGAGGGGGGTGGGTGGATTGAGGCAGAGAACAATGGGAGAGATTTGCGTGGAATTCGTGACCTTAGTTGCCGGAGGAGAGACAATGGAATGGAGGGGGGAGGGGTTAGGACAGAGAGAGAGGAGTGGGTGGATTGAGGCAGAGAACATTGGGAGAGATTTGCGTGGAATTCCTGTCCCTAGTGGCCGTGGTAGAGACAATGGAATGGAGGGGGGAGGGGTTAGGACAGAGAGAGAGGGGTGGGTGGATTGAGGCAGAGAACATTGGGAGAGATTTGTGTGGAATTCGTGACCATAGTGGCCGTGGTAGAGACAATGGAATAGAGGGGGGAGGGGTTAGGACAGAGAGAGAGGGGTGGGTGGATTGAGGCAGAGAACATTGGGAGAGATTTGCGTGGAATTCGTGACCTTAGTGGCCGGAGGAGAGGCAATGGAATATAAACAAACCAGCACGTCAATATTTAGAGTAAGAAAATCGGAAGTTTGAGGAGGCAGAATTGAGTAAGATTAGGAAGTGTTTAATGTAAAGCCACACAGAGTCGATTAGCACACAATGAGCGCGTCGCCTGGTTGATTGCAATCATTCTGAGTGGTTGCAAACGGTGAGGGTGAGTGTGGCGGTGAGTGAGTTGGTGAGTGAGCGTGGTGGTGAGGGTTAGTGAGGGTGGTGAGGGTGAGTGTGGCGGTGAGTGAGTTGGTGAGTGAGTTGGTGAGCATGAGGGTGGTAGGGTGTGCGTGGTGGTGAGTGAGTTGGTGAGTGAGTTGGTGAGTGAGTTGGTGAGGGTGAGTGAGGGTGAGTGAGGGTGAGTGAGGGTGAGCGTGGTGGTGAGCTGGTGAGTGGGGTGGTGAGTGAGTTGGTGGGGATGAGTGATGGTTGTGGGGTGAGCGTGGTGGTGAGTGAGCGTGGTGGTGAGTGAGTGTGGTGGTGAGTGAGTTGGTGGTGGTGAGGGTGGTGGTGGTGAGGGTGGTGGTAGTGGTTAGGGTGGTGGTGAGGGTGGTGGTGAAGGTGGTGATGAGTGAGTTGGTGAGTGAGCGTGGTGGTGAGTGAGTTGGTGGTGGTGAGGGTGGTGGTGGTGAGGGTGGTGGTGGTGAGGGTGGTGGTGAGGGTGGTGGTGAGGGTGGTGGTGGTGAGGGTGGTGGTGGTGAGGGTGAGAGTGGTGAGGATGAGAGTGGGAGTGGTGAGCTCACTCTGCCCTACCTGCAGGAGCTCGCGCTCCTAGGAGCCGTCGACCGGGACGAGGCTCAGAACGCGCGGCCATTCAACTTCTCGTGCAGAGACGCTCACCCCAACATCACGCTCCGGGACAACGGAGGCACGGAGACACACCGGGGACACGTGGAGGGCACGTGGGGACACACCGGGGACACGTGGGGACAGGCAGGGAGACACGTGGGGACACGTGGGGGACACGTGGGGACACGTGGGGACACGCAGGGAGACACGTGGAGGGACATGCTTGGAGACACGTGGGGACACGTGGGGGGACACGTGGGGACACACCGGGGACACGTGGGGGACACGCGGGGAGACACGCGGGACACGCGAGGAGACACGTGGGGACACGGGGACACGTGGGGACACACAAGGACCGAGTCTCACTGTGTCTTCTCTCCCCGTGTCTACCTCCTCCCCATGTCTCCCCCCCATGTCTCCCTCCCGCGTCACCCCCCCCCTCCCCCACCCCCCGCGTCTCCCCCCCACCCCCACCCCCTCCCCCTCTCCCCCTCCCCCACCCCCCCCCCCGTGTCCCCGCCAGTGTAGACGGCACGGCGAGTTTGCTGTCGCGCGTCTCCGGTCATCTGGCCGTGTCCCCGCTGTCCCTGCTGGTGCTCGTCACGGACTCGGGCTCGCCGCGCCTCACGGGCTCGGCCCTCGTCCTCCTGCACTCGTGCCCGTGCCGTGGTGACGGTGACGGCGGCGGTGACGGCACGGGCACGGGGCCCCACGCGTGCCCCCTGCCGGGCTCCGGTGGGCCTGCAGGGGGCCGCGCGTGGAGCTCGCGCCGCGCGGGTCTCAGCCCGCAAGCGATCGCGGCACTCGTGGGCAGCGTGCTCCTGCTCACGGGTGCGGAGACACCGGGGGGTGGGGGACACACACACACGAGGGGAGACACAGGCGGGGGGGGGGGGCACGGGGACATTGATGGAGACAGGGAGGGCTGGGGATGATGGGAGACACGGGCGGGGGGTGGGACACGGGGACATTGGTGGAGACAGGGAGACCTGGGGATGATGGGAGACACAGGCGGGGGGGACACGGGGACATTGGTGGAGACAGGGAGGGCTGGGGATGATGGGAGACACGGGGACATTGGTGGAGACAGGGAGGGCTGGGGATGATGGGAGACACGGGGACATTGGTGGAGACAGGGAGGGCTGGGGATGATGGGAGACACGGGGACATTGGTGGAGACAGGGAGGGCTGGGGATGATGGGAGACACGGGGACATTGGTGGAGACAGGGAGGGCTGGGGATGATGGGAGACACAGACGGGGGGGACACGGGGACATTGGTGGAGACAGGGAGGGCTGGGGATGATGGGAGACACGGGGACATTAGTGGAGACAGGGAGGGCTGGGGATGATGGGAGACACGGGGACATTGGTGGAGACAGGGAGGGCTGGGGATGATGGGAGACACGGGGACATTGGTGGAGACAGGGAGGGCTGGGGATGATGGGAGACACGGGGACATTGGTGGAGACAGGGAGGGCTGGGGATGATGGGAGTCACGGGGACATTGGTGGAGACAGGGAGGGCTGGGGATGATGGGAGACACGGGGACATTGGTGGAGACAGGGAGGGCTGGGGATGATGGGAGACACAGACGGGGGGGACACGGGGACATTGGTGGAGACAGGGAGGGCTGGGGATGATGGGAGACACGGGGACATTGGTGGAGACAGGGAGGGCTGGGGATGATGGGAGACACGGGGACATTGGTGGAGACAGGGAGGGCTGGGGATGATGGGAGACACGGGGACATTGGTGGAGACAGGGAGGGCTGGGGATGATGGGAGACACGGGGACATTGGTGGAGGCAGGGAGGGCTGGGGATGATGGGAGACACGGGGACATTGGTGGAGACAGGGAGGGCTGGGGATGATGGGAGACACGGGGACATTGGTGGAGACAGGGAGGGCTGGGGATGATGGGAGACACGGGGACATTGGTGGAGACAGGGAGGGCTGGGGATGATGGGAGATAGGTGGGGGGGACACGGGGACATTGGTGGAGACAGGGAGACCTGGGGACGATGGGAGACACAGGTGGGGGGGACACGGGGACATTGGTGGAGACAGGGAGGCCTGGGGATGAGGGGAGACACGGGGACATTGGTGGAGACAGGGAGGCCTGGGGATGAAAGGAGACACAGCGGGGTACACGGGGACATTGGTGGAGACAGGGAGGCCTGAGAGACAGAGGGATGTGGAGAAAGACAGCCTGTGCGTTGGGGATGTACAGGAGAACGCGCGGATGGACACAGAAACGCACGAGGAGACACGAGGAGACGCAGCGACACACACACACAGACAGGGGGTGTGTGGGAACGGCACCCCACACGGAGATTCAGGTGCACTTACGAGACAGAGAGACACAGGGAGACACACATTCATGAATGAGGGTGGTAACACAATCCTTACGGAGATGCTGCCTCGTGCATGAGGCAATCGAGGGGCTGTACGGAAACTCCAGGGACTCCTCTGCTTACGAACATTCGACTTAATAACATTCGACTTACGAACATTCGACTTACACACTTTCGACTTACGAACATTTAACTTACGAACATTCGACTTACGAATTTTCAGAGGTTCGAACAAACTTGGTCCCGTATGTCCAGTCACCTGCTTGGACAGAGAGTCGTAAGTTCAACCGCCGCGCAATCGATGGCGGTGGTGGCATCTACATCTGCAGAACGTGAAGAACCAGTGGCATCTACATCTACAGAACATGAAGACCCATTGGCATCTACATCTACAGAACATGAAGAACCAGTGGCATCTACATCTACAGAACGTGAAGAATCAGTGGCATCTACACCTGTAGAACGGGAAGAACCAGTGTCATCTACATCTGCAGAACGTGAAGAACCAGTGGCATCCACATCTGCAGAACGTGAAGAACCAGTGGCATCTACATCTACAGAACGTGAAGAACCATTGGCACCTACATCTACAGAACGTGAAGAACCAGTGGCATCTACATCTGTAGAACTTGAAGAATCAGTGGCATCTACATCTGCAGAATGTGAAGAACCAGTGGCATCTACATCTGTAGAACGTGAAGAACCAGTGGCATCTACATCTGCAGAACATGAAGACCCATTGGCATCTACACCTGTAGAACGTGAAGAACCAGTGGCATCTACATCTGTAGAACGTGAAGAACCATTGGCATCTACATCTGCAGAACATGAAGACCCATTGGTATCTACATCTGCAGAATGTGAAGAACCAGTGGCATCTACATCTACAGAACGTGAAGAACCAGTGGCATCTACACCTGCAGAACGTGAAGAACCAGTGGCATCTACATCTACAGAATGTGAAGAACCAGTGGCATCTACATCTGCAGAACGTGAAGAACCAGAGTAATCTACATCTACAGAACGTGAAGAACCAGTGGCATCTACATCTACAGGGGATTATACAACTATTAATGCCATTCTCCGTGCTTAGTGTGCACGCCGTACAACATGTTTGGAATCGACAGAGAGTAAAGCTGGACGTATGAACAAATCGACTTACGAACACAGACCTCTGGAACCTAACCCGTTCGTAGGTGGAGGAGTCGCCGAATAGGGACGATTCTCCCGACTCACAGCGTTGCTGGATGTGAATTCCAACAGCACCCCTGTGGGTACAGAGCACCCAGCCCCTACACCTCGTGGCTGTGACGTGGAGTTGTGAGGCTGTCAGTCAATGGGCAGTTGTGGGAGTGGAATGGAAGATTTAACAACAACTACAACAGCAAATATGGGGTGGACAGGGCAGTGCGAGTTCAGTTAATCCCGAGGAGTAAGTGAGAGTGGCTGGGTTGGGTTGCCGAAGATCTGCGAGAGGTTGTACAATAATAGAACCATACCCTGTGGTTCTTTCGGTAAAGTCACGTCGATAGAAAATTAATAGATCACGAAAGTTTAGATCGCAACACAAGCGAACTAAAAGACGGTCGCTTAATTTTCTACCCACGTGAATTTTACCGAAACGACCAAAAGGTGTGGATTCCTGCAGTCACGAAAGCTTCAAATCAATAATAGCAGCGTCAAGGTTGACAGTAGGCACGCGGCTTATTGTTCCGACCAGTGGAGCAGCATAGATTGTAGCATTTCATCAAATCCTTTCACCCATTTTGGTTCGAACGCGCCACATCATCGGAGGCCTCTCCCAATGTTCACACATTCAGAGCAAAAAACGACGAGGCGACATTCACACCGCTTGCTGTGTGAAGTCGTTGGGTTCGCGTGCGGTGACGCGTGAACACGTGACTCGTCAGAGCGTGACGCTTCAGAGCATGATGCGTGAAAGCGTGACGTGTCAGAGAGTGCATGTCAGAGTGTGACGCGTCACGCTCTGAAGCGTTAGAGTGTGACGCATCAGAGAGTGACGTGTCAGAGTGTGACACGTCACACTCTGACACGTCACACTCTGACACGTCACTCTCTGACGCGTCAGAGAGTGACGCGTCAGAGCGCGATCCAAACGACAGCCGTCACCTCCACGGTGCCTGATCGGAGGCCCTTCTTGCTGCGGGGGGGGGGGGAGGGGGGGACACAGGCGTTGCCTGACCTCTGACGCGGGTGACAGACGTCGCTAACCTCCCTCCCTCTCCTACCTCCCACACCTCCCTCTCCTCCCTCCCTCCCCTCCCTCACCTCCCTCCCACCCCGCCCCCCCGCAGCCCTCGCGCTGCTCCTGCTGGCGCTGCGTCGCCGCTGCGCGGGGCCGCTGCGCTCCGACTGCACGGACGTCGCGAGCGACGAGGGCGCCATCGTGCGCGACAACGTCGTCAGCTACGACGACGAGGGCGGCGGCGAGGAGGACACGCGAGCCTTCGACGTGAGCGCCCTCGCCGCCCGCTCCCCCCGCTGGCCCCGCCCCCCTCGTCCGCCGTCGCCGGCGGCCGCGCCGGCGCCGCTGGCGCGGCCGTCGGCGGCGGCTCGGCGGAGCCCGCGGGCGGCCCGGCCGCCCGGCGCCGGCGTGTCGGCGCTCGTGGCCGAGCGGCTGCGCCGGGCGGACGGGGACGAGGCGGCCCCGCCGTACGACTCGGTGCAGGTGTACGGCGACGAGGGCGGGGGCTCCGTGGCCGGCTCGCTCAGCTCCCTCGGCTCGGCTCGCGACGGCGACGACGGCGACGGCGGCGACGGCGGCGACGTACGAGGGGGGTCCCGGCGTCGGCGCGACGCGGCGGGACGCTACGACTACCTGGACGAGTGGGGGCCGCGCTTTGAGAAGCTGGCGCGGCTGTATTCGCATGGCAGCGATGTGGAGGATGACGACGACGACGACGAGGACGACGACGATGACGACGGTGGTGGTGGTGGTCTGAATTATTAATTTCCTTTTTATTTGGTGACATCTTGGCGGGGCGGGGTGGGGGGGGGGGGTTGGGGGGGAAGGTTTACTTTTGTAATATCGCGAGCAATAATATCCGTGATAAAGTGGATTCGGCGGTGGTTTTTTAATCTTTTATTTTTTTTTTAACGTGGGTTCGATCGCGCGAGCTTGAATGCGTCGTTCAAACACCCGCCGCCGCCAGGAGGCGCGGCCAACGCGGCAAGGCTTGGCGTGGCACGTTTCGCGTGCCACGCCAAGACGCGTAGATGCCGGCTGAGCACCACCGGTGGCGCTGGAGGGTAAACGCGAGGCGCCTCCTCTCGAACACGTGACCCGTGGGCGCTGAACTCGTAACTGATTGGGCGCTTCTTGTTCACGTGACAGGCTTCACCGGTTTATACATCAGCCCCGCAATGTGTTTAACTCTTTGCGTTAGTGCGGCACGTTCTGTAATTAGATTTTTGTATTCGCAATTGTTCGTAGCGTTTTGCAGTGGAAACTCGTTTGCCAGGTTTTCCTTCACGCGTCTCATTCACCTCTCACCTTCACTCAACTCATTCACCTCTCACCTTCACTCAACTTATTCACCTCTCACCTTCACTCAACTCATTCACCTCTCACCTTCACTCAACTCATTCACCTCTCACCTTCACGCAACTCATTAACCTCTCACCTTCACGCAACTCATTCACCTCTCACCTTCACGCAACTCATTCAACTCATTCACCTTCACTCAACTCATTCACCTCTCACCTTCACGCAACTCATTCAACTCATTCACCTCTCACCTTCACTCAACTCATTCACCTCTCACCTTCACTCAAATTATTCACCTTCACTCAACTCATTCACCTCCACCCCGCCCTCCCCCACGCATCTCTCTTGACTTACGAGCCACCGCGTGCTCTGCCACGGTGGCTCGTAATGCATGCGTGGCAAGGTGGTGGCACAAGCGGAGTGGTAACACCTCTGCCTCGCAGCACGGAGCGCCTGCTCGTTTGATTCCCCAACCTAGAGGTCGTCTGTTGTCACCGTCACCCCACCCACCCCCCCAGACCCACCCCGTCCCACACGTCACAATCTCGCCGTGAACCCCCGGTGCGTTTCCAGAGGACCTCGAAGCCAATCGCGCTCCGTGGGCAAAACCTTTCTAACTAAACCGGAAGTACTGCATCCAACACCGTGACGTCAAAGCTCAGCCGACCCCGGGGCGGTTTCTCCCCAATTCGACCATCGACCCCCCAGGGATGGCTCTCCTGGCCGGGGTAGCCACGTGGTTGTGGACTGCCTTGAGTGGGTGGGTGGAGAGTTCTAAACGACGACACGGCCACGTGTTCACTCCCCCCCCCCACGTGAGCCGGCGGGACGTTTTTGTACGCGCGACGCCGATCGCCGGCGTGCGTTGCCACTAAATCGTCTTCTTTCGCCTTGGCGGGCGCTTTTACGGACCCGCGAGGAGTCGTTTGTTCTCGCTTCCGGGACGGTGACCTTATCGTGGTGGAGGGGGGGGGCACGTTTTTGTTTGAGCCTTCCAGAAAGCAACGTGATTCGATTTTTGTTCCGTTCAAGTATTTTTTTTTTCACCCCCTTTGCACCGTCTTTTCCGTCGGTCGAAATCCCCCCCCCCCCCCCCCCCCCCCCCCCCCGTTGCGAGTAACATCACGTCCAACGCTAACACGGGAAGATTGGAATATTCACGTTCCGAATGGGAAATCAGAGGTCACCGAAGGAACATTGGGGTTGGGGGCGGACCTCAGGGACGCGAGTCATTTCAACAGCTGCATCCAATTGGCAGGCAAACGTCACGGATGGCGCTCAATGGAATTTGCTCAGCGAATTGGTCTTCGGCAAACCCGCACTTTGTTCGTTTTCATCAGAACCTCCAGACCATGCGCCGTCGATTTCGGCGCCCAGCTCATCCTGCATCTTGCTCTTCACGCCCTTGATGGAACTCGCACGATCGCACAAAATATCTCTCTCTCGAGAGAGAGGTAAAAACAATGATTCGATCCGTTTCCGGTGCTGGCGTTCCTCCTACCCCCTCCTCCTCCCCCTCCTCCTCCTCCCCCTCCCCCGACTCCCCCGACTCCGTGTTGGCTGGCACCGGTGCTTCTTGACCATACTTCGCCGCCGGCTGCTGCTCGATGCGGAGTTTTGATGACAAGGGGTGGCCCGGGTCGACGACGAGTTCCGATTCCGCCGATGCAGCCGAGGGAAATCGCGCATCGGGGGGGGGGGGGGGGGGGGGAGGGCTCCCGAGCATCGCGGGCCGAGGCCCTGACACGTGCTTCGTGGGCTCACAGCTGACTCCGTGACTCCGTTGGGGGTCTCACTCGTGCGACGATTGGGGGGGGGGGGCCTGCGTGAAGCTCCGTGGAAGTGCGAGGTTTCCCCTGTCGTGTCTCAGTATTTGCTGATGTTTCTTGATACATGATATTTTTAGTTTTTTTTTTACTCAAACTGTTCGCAAATGTTTCCCCCCTCCCCCCCCACCTTCACGAAGTCTTTATTTGTAACAAGTATTTACCATCATTAGATCTCCTTTGCCAGTACCCAAATACAATTTATGCAGCACGCCTTTTGGCGTCATCTGGTCGAGAACCAATTGGGTCGAGGCTCAAAAGAAAGCCGTCCCTTGGTGTGGACCAATCAGATACAAGGACAATGCATCATATTATCAGAGTGTGCTTTTTGTTTGCATTTTGACAGCAGGTATTGTGGTTAATGCAGTAAACATGAATCCTTGTAAAAAGATTTCAGTTTTGTTGCCAGAAAAAAGGGGGCCAACCCTATCATTACATTTTGGTACTGGCAAAGGAGGTCTAATGATGATGTAGATGCTCACCCCGAGCCCTCATTACTTTGATAGTGCATTGTCTTTGAGCTGTGTGACGCCTTTTGGCGTCATCTGGTCGAGCACCAATTGGGTCGAGGCTCAAAAGAAAGCCGTCCCTTGGTGTGGACCAATCAGCTTCAAGGACAATACATCATATATATTATCAGAGTGCGTTTTTTGTTTGCATTTTGACTGCAGGTATTGTGGTTAATGCAGCAACATGAATCCTTGTAAAAAAGGTTTCAGTTTTGTTGCCAGAAAAAAGGGGGAACACCCCCTATTATAAGGGTTTTACCAGTAGACGTTTAGAAAATATTACTCGGAGTTGTATTATTATTCATATTCATATTCACTCAGTGTTACGGCTTGTTTTGTTTTACATTCTCCTTGGGGTTGTGGCATCTGTGTTGCCGACTGCCGTGATCTTTCTCCTGCGAACGTGTTCCACCCCTGCGAAGGCTCACGCGCCTTTAGCAACATCAACCCTCGCGGTATAAATGAAGAAAGCTTTCAATAAAGTTGGATGCTATATACAGGGGACTCCTCTACTTATGAACGCCCGACTTACGAACTTTCAGAGATACGACCAAAGCGAGTGCGGCCACCAATTCCCAAGGCATCGGCCACATTGTAAACACCTGCTGTCTTCACTCGTTTAATGTAGGAACGGATGAGATTGACTCTGTGTCTGGACAGACAATTGATTGAATAACACAACTAAAATGATTATATTTAATCTGCTGCTATTACTGGCAGGTAACGTAGTGAACTGGAAGCCTTAACCAGGATTAATTCTCACAGGAGGCAGGGGATTAATTGTGTATGTCTGTGGATGTCTGTCCACGTGTATCCGGACACCCGGATAAAATGGGAGAGGTGGGGCTGGGTGGAGAGGGGAGGGTGGGGAGGGGCTGGGTGGGGAGGGGCTGGGGAGGGTGGGGAGGGGAGGGTGGGGAGGGTGGGGGGTGGGGAGGGAGGGGCTGGGTGGGGGGTGGGAGGGGTGGGGCTGGGTGGGGAGTGGCTGTTCACCCCGTGGTGCCCTTATAAAACTCAACGTTTAACCTACTCACGCCGGCTTGTGCCCGCCCTCACAGTCGGGCATATTGTGCGGAATACACCACGTGGTGCCGCCGTTGACCCTGGCCATTGACCAAGCAACCCAACGTTCCTACCAGCCCCCTCCGCAGGAGAATGTTTTTATATATACGAAAGAAGATGTCCAGTTGCCCGTTCGGACCGAGATTCACAAGTTCAACTGCCGCGCAAGAGATGGCGGTGGTAGCATCTGCATCTGCAGAACACGAAGAACCAGTGGCATCTCCATCTGCAGAACGTGAAGAACCAGTGGCATTTTCACTTGTAGAACGTGAAGAACCAGTGGCATCTGCATCTGCAGAACATGAAGAACCAGTGGCATCTCCATCTACAGAACGTGAAGAACCAGTGGCATCTCCATCTACAGAACGTGAAGAACCAGTGGCATCTTCATTTGTAGAACGTGAAGAACCAGTGGCATCTCCATCTACAGAACGTAAAGAACCAGTGGCATCTCCATCTACAGAACGTAAAGAACCAGTGGCATTTTCATTTGTAGAACATGAAGAACCAGTGGCATCTACATCTGCAGGAGATTATACAACTTTTAAAGCCATTCCCCGTGCTCAGTGTACACGCCGTGCGACGTGTTTGGAATCGACAGAGAGTAAAGTTGGATTTACGAACAGACCTCTGCAACCTAACTCGTTTGTCAGTAGAGAAGTCGCTGTAAATTCAAGAATATCCAACTCCCAAACGACAAGGTATGGCAGCACAAAGAATTTATATCTGAGCCGGCAATGGTGAGATCCTCGTTTATCATCTGAATCTAAGGCCCCGTGATTTAACCGGGTTTTCAAGTGTAGTGAGATGATGGGCCTAGTCTGGTCTACAGTGAATTGTGCAGAGACCCATGGCTTCGCATAGAGACCCATGCACTGCCATTAAAAGCCAAAGACTCACACAGAGACCCATAGATTACCATAGAGACCCATGCACTGCCATTAAAAGTCAAAGAGTCACACAGAGACCCATAGACTACCATAGAGATCCATGGACTCGCATAGAGGCCCATGCACTGCCATTAAATGCCAAAGACTCACACAGAGACCCATAGACTACCATAGAGACCCATGGATTCGCATACAGACCCATGCACTGCCATTGAAAGCCAAAGACTCACACAGAGACCCATAGACTACCATAGAGACCCATTGACTACCATAGAGACCCATGCACTGCCATTAAAAGCCAAAGACTCACACAGAGACCCA